AACCACTAAACCTTAACTACACGTCTAATATCCCGTATTAACACTACAAACTTGGTCTTTGTCCTCAGTGGAAGAACATTTTGGTGCATTACTTTGCACAAACACTTCCTTCTGTAGTTGTTCTACTTTGCATTTGTTCTGGTCGTGCTGTTCAGGGCAGCTTTTTTGGGCTGCAGATTTTTGAGCCGTGTATGTCGAAACAGCAGTATTTGACAGTTTCCTGATTGGTGTAAAAACAGGCCAGTGTGTTTAAATCGAACCTGCAGCTCCCTCCAATGAGGTGAGTAGAGCTGGGAACACTAACCTGAAGATGACTGTGTTCATAACAGCCTGACTGCCAGGAAAATGAGGTTTAACGATTACTTTTCCCCATATTTTACCGAAGTCAGTCACATCTCTCTTTTAAAGTACGACTTTCCTTTCCTTCCTTGGACAAGCGCAGAAAATACCTCAAAAGGCTAAATTCCTGATCTGTAATTCAAGGTCTGAGATACAAAGAATTCAGCTTTTAACACCAAAGACGTCTGATCTAAATATGCTGTAGATCCTGATACTGTTGAATAGACAGAGGTAAAATATTATATTTTAGTTGGCATTAAATAGTCCATTCCACAAAGTGTATTGGATCAAAGTTAAAATGATTTGGGGAGGAAAAGACATGAATATTTTAGCTTTGTGACAGCTGAAATAAAAAAAAATGGAAAACTTAATAAATGGATGGGCACAGTTCAGGTAAGGTTGGTCAGGAATGTGTGCTTTGTCTGACTGACGCTGCTCTGTGTGTCGTCCTGCAGGGGGCGAGCTGGTTCACCTTCCTCCGTACCTGCGCATGGACTTCCTGTTAAACCGAGGCATGACCTGCTCGGGCTCGTCCAGGGGGACGGCCAGCGGGGAGAGAGCAGCCATGGGTCAGGCCTGCCTGGAGCCCCAGAAAAGCCGCTCCTTAAAGCGGCCCTCTCGCATGGCCCCCCCGACACCCACAGAGGCCCCTCAGGCCAGCAGGGACCCAGCGGCCCAGTGGCAGCCCGGCTCTGCAGCCACACTCCCACACAGAGAGGGCTCGGAGCTGGCCCAAGCCGCCAAGCTCAGCACCTCCCAGGAGTCCCTGCTGGACTCGAGAGGACATCTGAAACAGACCAGCAACCCCTACGCAAAGTCCTACACGCTGGTATAACAGCAGGGGCACTCGGGGCGGGACTAGAACTCACTCTAACACTGGACTTAACACTGAAGTGCAGTAAACTGACTTTCACCACGCAGTTCTGTATATACGTGCCCTCCCTTCAAGGACGGGGTCACTTTTACTAATCTCCTTTTATTTATTTTAGACTTTTCTTTTACCTCTTATTTGTATCTTTGATTTGTTTGTTTCACTTTGAGAAAAAAAAAATCCTTCATCAGAAATGACTCCAGCTGGAGCTTTGCCAAACTAATTGAGTAACAAGGGAGCATTATTTATTCTTAATTCTTTATAATTAATCAAGTGATTATTAATTGTTAGTTGTCAGCTATTAATGATCATTAATTATTGAGTACCAAATGATCTATTATCACTATTACTACGATGTTTTCATAAGAACCAGGACATCTTTTTTATTTTCGGTTTCCTGCAGTGGAAGATGACGATTTGGAGTCATTTTTTCCTATGGAATATCCTTCTGAAACACTGAATGAAACCTCGGGGGAATCTTGGAATGAAAGCAATTGACACCAGTCCAAACTTTTCAGCTGCTCTCAAATTGTTACTTTTTTTGAAGAAAAAAAAAATCTATTTCCTATGGATGCATGGGGACTGACCAATTAAAAGACAATGAGGATAACGATCATGGCTGGACAGCCCAGTCGAGCATTTTGTCACACTATGAAATGATCCAATGTGAAGATTTATTATTCTTATTACTATAAATATATATATAAAAAGAGAAATCACTTTTATTTGTGGATATTACAGGGAAGAATTGATTTGGTTAATAAAGTCCTTAGTCATGTTTGCACATATCTCGTTTTAATTAGGAAATGGAGTCTCTGTTGATCTTTCTCTGTGTCCCATTCTTGATGGTGCAATATGAAAAAAGATATGAAAAGTATATGAAAACTATTGATCTATACTGTACTGTAATGATGAAAAATAACTATGTTGTGAGTATACTTACAGGGCCGGACACACTCCAGCTTGTGTATTCAGGTGTAGTTTACCACTGCTTGTTTGCCAGGATGGTAAATGATGTTAGCTAGAACAGGGAGGGTTTAGAGAACTAATGGTTTGCACTTCACAACAGCCCGACTCAAGTGTGTCCATATAGATCCCCCACCCCCTCCCCACTCTCAGTGCACTAGGTAGTCTTCAGGGCTCTCACTCTCCTCAGTAGATTTACTGTTGCTGCATTGCAGTGATGCTCCACGACAGGGAAAAAATAAAATAAAAAATGTGAGACAATCCAGCAGAGTCCCCCTTTCGAACCAAACCTATAACGTCTATGGGAAATATCTCTGAGAAAAAAATGTGGATATACATTCAAAGGTGTTTTTTCTTCTGTCTGCCCCGCCCAGTTTCTGTTCTGTTTCTTTGAGTTAGATTTGAGGGAGAAGAGTTGGATCCAAAAACGCTGTGAGGTCATTCTGTCCGTTTCTACGATTAGTTTCTATAATTAACTGTCTTCATTCTGATTATACATTTTAACAAAAAAAAAAATGTCACTTTTTATTTTTAACATGAGTGTTCACCACGGTGGCACTGGAATAAAGAGAAACTAACACAAAGGTTCAAATTTGATTAATAAAATGGCTGTTCCCCAAAGTGTCCGGCGCAGGTTTGAAATGAGTGACTGGTGGTGGGGGGGCGGGTGGAGGTGGAGGTGGAAGTGTTCTGTTCTCTGGATGGCTGGGCTGCGACTCTCACCAGGAGCCCTCAGCTCTCGATCTCCTTTTCATGTGACAGAGATCACCGCGCTCCACGCCTGCAGGTGGCAGCGTTGGTTTGCTCAATAATTCTGCCGTTTTCCATCCACTTTCAATCAAAGCTTCCTCAGACCAGCCTCTCACAAAGGCTCCAACTTCTAATTTTCAACGGGGCACAATCAATTTAACTTCATTTATCGGTTTCCACACAGACTAAAAAAAAGTGTGTAAGATCTGATTAAAGATTTCTCTGACCATCAGGATAGCCACAGGAACCATTTCACGCATTACCAACATCATGACGACATCATTTTTATATATTAATTCTGATATCTGTCTGTCTCAAACTCTCTTCACCTCCCCATGTTTTTTTTTGTTTTTAAAATGATGCAGTTCATGCTCAAGAACATGTTCTTGCATCATGTAAACTGATCGACCACTGATTTAACCACTGGTTCATCCAGTTTTTACTCTGTCTCACTCTGAATGTTCCTCTATTGCAGTATTTTTTCTTGTTTTTTTTAGAGTTTCTAATAATCTATTGATTATGTTGCTGTTATCAGTAGTTTATACTGAGGAAGCCAGACAGTTAATTTAACAGAGATATTATTCCTATGGAAATACTTTTTAATAATAAAAGCAGTTGTGAGATGCTGCAGTCTTAGGTTGGATTTTCAATGACAGAGCAGAGAATAATCATCTTTAACAATTTAATTCGACAAAGTTGCTTTGATTTTTAAAAGGTCATCGATGCTATAAAAAACTAATTTACAGGCAAAACATCTATAGAATCTTAACTCCTTGACTTTAAGTCGATAAAGATTGTGTTGTCTTGACTTTATTCAGGATCTTTCTGGGTTTTTTTTTAGCTTTCCTCCTGCCACCCTGCTGCTTCTGCTTGAGCCTCACTTTTCTCACCTGCTAAATTGCTTCCATGCTCTTATATCACTGGATGGGGGATTTCACAGGAAGGCATATTACTCAGTATGACACCTATCCCTGCTATCCATCTCCAAAGTCCACGACAAATTAAGCGTGGTGGCAGAGATTACTTGCTGCCACATGCAGTTCAGGCTGCACTGAATCCTTGTCCCCTGATCAGCCCAAGACGTATGAAGACGTCCTCAACAACACCGGGGAAATTATTCTTTAAGCATAGATACACATTCTGGAGCAGAATTATTGGTGTAGCAGTTAAGCCCATATAATTGGCTATGGAGACTAATTACTGTACTTACTGAAAGTCTTGTAGCTCATAAAAGTAGACATTTATCTTGGACATTCAACATCCCAAATAATTTGAGGTTAGTTGAAATCAATTGCATTAAAACTGGGACTGAACTGCGCCGGGTGTATTAAATGATAAAATGTACTACAAGTTAAACAGTGAGACAAATGTTGATTCTCTGTGCAGGGCAGTTTGAAGGGAAATGACAAAGCTCATCACTATTCAACAGCATCTTTATTCATCTCTCTGCTTGTGTAGGCGTGTGTGCAAGCTTGCATGCATAAGTCTGTGTGCGTGTACAGTAAACACATGTGGGCCTACTCAGTGGTGACATTATAGGTCTGAAAGCAAGGAAACACAGACAAATGGACTCGTATTACAAGAATGGCATTTCTAAAGAAACAAATGAGATGGTTTCGTTTAATATGGAGGAAATAGGTGGCATACTAGACATACTAAAAAAGCATAGTGAAAGCACCAACAACAGAGCAAGACCACCAGAGCGCCCAAAATTCTTTGGAAATTAAAGATGAGGACTGTTCATGAAGCCATAAAACACTTTCCGTTCACATGGGGAAATTACACGGAATGTGGAATCACGACTAATCAACTTGAAGCTCTACTATAACTAACAACAAATGCTGTTGAAGTGAAAAAAGCACAGTTATGGGAAAAATCTCTAAACATACAACAATGTTTCACTCATCTATTGTTTTGTTACAGTAAATCGATCATAAATAATAATAATTAACTCTTACTGATTATTAATCGCACACAGACTTTCAGAAATGTATTAATCTTCCATTTTTCATCACAGTTCATGACAGTACAGTTGATCGACATGCAAACGCAGGGGAGTCCGACGGCAGCCGGCCTAAGACTTCACATCCTGCTTCTTTTTCTGGAATTTCCTGAACTGAGACTGGATGGCCACAGCAGCCTTCTCTGTCTCTGGATTCTCCATGTCGATGTCGAAGTCCTGCGGCTCGTTGTTCTTCTTTTCATCTGGGAAGAGGAGAAGGGAAACAGGATAGGAATGTTCATGTTTATATTCACCCCATTTTGTGGCAAACGTGCACGAAGGCTGCCCACTGATCAATCGATCTATGTTTAAAAAGCACTTTTCATACAAAAGTCATTGCAACACAAATTGCTTTATATGAACTGAAGAATAGATATAAAGAATAATATAAATGCCAGGCCCCCGATCCACTCCTCAAACCACGTGCACATTAGTCACCCATCCAAACATGCACAGACACACAGAGTAGTGCTCCTCTAAAATATGGTCTGAACCCTGATCGACAGAACGGGAAACTAAGAGACTGGAGAGAAAAATAAGAATAAATAAAACACAGTCAAATTCAAATATAAATATGACCAAAAAAATAAAAAGATAAATGAATCTAATTAAAATAACTTATGATAGTAAAAAGATCAAATAAAGAATAACAAGAAAATAATTTTGTTCAGTTCAATGAAAACATGGGTTAAGTATCTAATGAATATTATCATGAATTGTGAATATTTTCAAAACAAATTACAACAAATTCTCATATTATTGTTATTACTATATTATTCACAGCCTGAAATGTAATACCCTCACATCTTGAACCATCAGTCTCTCATTGTTTTTATTTAAATATGAATAATTATGTGTTGTTTTACAACAACCTAAAAATATCCTAAAGCTGACTTTCATCTCATCGTCGCTGCGGACTGATCTGCAAAAGATGGACCAAGCTTACTGCTAGAATCATAGTACGATGTCATGAGACAGATGAAGTCCTTCTAACCAGTTGGCTTGTGGTCCCTTTAAGTAAATCAATCAATCTGATCTACATGATACATGTTGTTGTCCAATTATCTTTCAAACATCCCTGTCTATGTTTACTTCTGGATTCAAAATCAGGATGCTGCTTAGGGCCATTTTTCTAAAAAGGAAGTTGAGCCAAATGTCAAATGGTTATGATATCTGATCGGGACACAAAACAGTCGATGGATGGACCAAATTCTAACTGCAACAACAACAAATTGGTGGACGAACTTGAAGCTTAAAAAAGGCACTAAATGCTCTAAAAGGTCAGTCAGTTTGGCTGTAGCCTTCAGCTGTGTTCAATAAGCGGAAATGGCCTCATTACTGGCTCCTGGGTTTATACATCCCAGCTTAGTATTTATACAAATAGCATGAACATATTTCTTACCAATTACAACTAATAACCTGACGCTTTTCAGATAATATTGTGTTTCATGCTCATTCTTTGTGGGGAAATATGCATAAACACATGCTTTTTCCTCATCCCACCAGTCCACTCCAATAGAGTAAAAATCCACTTTTGCATGTAAACCAGATCATTGCTATATTGCCTAAACAGCACTTCCTACAGCTGCAACTATCAGCCTTTTCTGTTCTGGTGCAGTGTTTAAAGAGAGGCTTCATGCATGTCAGATGTAAATGTCACACCTGCCTGGTGTTCAATAAAAGCTGTGTGGAGGCCCACATATCGATCAAACAGCCCCTCACAGTCCGGCACATGAGAGGGCTCCTTTCAGCCTCCATGTGTAAGAATATCCATCCACATTCTGTTACTCACACTGTAAGAATATCTAACATTTGAGAAGAAAATCAAATCTAAATAACACAGACTTTATCAGACCGGCAAAATCCCATTCTCTGTGCTTCAGTGGCCGAACGGAGGACTAAAGTCACTGTGGGGTCTCAGACACACAGAGGATGTGATCAGGAGGGGCAAAAACAGTTTGTGTTCTGGGAATTTCTTTTGAATCTCACAGCGTCACCGCTCATTCACTCAGTCATAGGAAACCATCAGTCACTGCTCAAGCATCTCAGCGGCCATGCAGTGCAGAGCTCCGTGCACGATGTGCACCACGTGCACTACGTGCGCTGGTGTGGAGAGCTGGTGCCCTCATGCACTGACTGAGATTTCTCCAAATGGCCTACTTACGTTTAGACTGAGCCTTTTGTTGACCTTGCAGTCCTTGGATGACGATAAAAAAAAACAAGTTTGGATTTGATATTTGCAGAAACCACACACACACATACACTCACACACACACACACACACTCCTATGCACAGTCACATCAGCTCTGCGGGATCCATGGCCTTTACACCACAGCGGGACCTCAGAGACCAAACACGTCGCACTTTGGGTGCTGCGTCCTCGTCCAGCATGAGGGAGTTTTTCACCCCAGATTCATGAAAGGTCACGTTCAAATTGCTTCCTGTAAGGTTTGTGATAATCTAAGTGTATATGGACAGTGACAGAGGAAGGCCCAATCCAAAGCCAGGAAACTGCCACGACTCCGAGGCCTCAAAAGGTTAGCTGAAAAAGGGGGATTTGTTCAAACCCTTAGATTCTAAGACAAAGTGTTCTACAGAAACAGCAGTAACTGATTCTCTCGCAGACATAAGACCATATCTTTCAATTCATCGTTTCATGTAAATTGCACAGCAACCTACAAGAACTAGGAAAAACTTATGGACAGGTGGCTTCAGCTGAGTTTAACTGAGTAGAAGATACCTGTGGAAGTGGAGAGAATAACCAAGGCTCAACCAGCCACAAAGAACAAAACAATGAACTAAGAGATCATTAAACCACAAAAGCAGTAACTCAGAAAAACAAGATGAATCCTAGAAAGACTTATAGAAGAAAAAAACAGATCCAGAAGAAGACAGTTCTGGTTCAAATCCCAGAAATCATTCTTACTATGTTGCAAAGTGTTACAGTAGGAAAACACAGGATTAGACCAAAAAACTCCACTTTAATGACAGAGAAATTTGAAGTTTACACTTGAGCGTCAGGCTGTCTAAACTTCTACTCTTAGTAAATGTCTCCATGTCATGTGAGTGTTTAAAGGGTCTTCGGTGGTATTACCACCTCTCTTTTACTGTATTCCTGCATTACCAAAATGATCCAATCTAAATTTGAATATCTATTCAAAATATCCTGCCTATTTCCTGAATCTGGAGCACACTGCATTCAGTCTCAGTTTCAGAAGGCAAACAGAAGAAAAACGAAAGATTAAAAAAGGGCAAATGCCAAAGGAATGCTATTCACACCTCTATCAAATTCAATTAAGCGTTTGTGAAATCCCTCCTAATCGTGTCTGAGATGTTTCCCTGCAGACAAACCTGAGCTGTGACACACTTCATCATCCCAGAGGCTGGACAGAAATCCATTTCAACAGGGGTCTTTACAGTGTTATCAGCAGGCCCAGAGAGTAGAAAGAAGAGACACGTGGTCTCCAGGTACATATAGGCTATGCTTTATGTGCTGAATTGAGGTTACAGAGGGCCTTAGCTGTGAATGGGTTGCTATTAACCTTCTGCATGTATTGTTTGAAGAAAAGTTGACTTGAAGAAGTGGAAGAGATTACATTTTGTGTGCTGGTTCAGATGCCGCCATGAAACTTAATTTAGCAAAAGTGGAGAACAAAGACAGCAACGAAAAAGGCTCCACAGCATCTGCCCCTGAGAGGAGGAAACCCAGCAGGGCTGCAGGACCACAGAACATGCCTCCATGATGAAATATCACAGCTTGGTTAGCATCTGTCAATCCCAAAAATCTGAGGGGGGGCGTCAGACTGATCCCCGATCGTCTCACCTGAAACCAGGACTGAAAATCCGCCTCTCCGATGCAGGGTTCATTAGAGATGGGCCATTTCTGAATTTCAAAAGCTCCTGCCAAGTACTGGGAGCCACATTCCAGCTTTTATAATTCAATGCACTTGAATCACATCATTATACCAACAATATCATGGCCCAGTTTTCAAAGTAGGTCTGCTTTAAAAGTCCTGCTAACTGCTATGATGTTTCTGTTACGCGGGCAAAAAAAGCCTAGGATATTCTCTTTCATAAATGATAGATTTTGGCATCCTAACTGAAGCATAAATAACTAGCAGCTTGCTCTGGCACTTGCACGCATGACATAAGGAGGTTTATTGTAGTTTTCTTCAGCATCAGAGCATTCGGTTGTAATTCTCACAGGTCCAACGCTTCCTCTCTTGTTCTGATCATCAGTAACAGCTGGGGACGGGAACCAGGAATCATTTCCCGTTGAGTGCCGGCTCCAAGCTTTCCGAAGCATCTCCCGAGCTCAGCGGTTCATTCATAGATGTCCACAGGTGCCTCAGTAATGCAAACTGATTGCTAATCTGAATCAGCCCACACGGGCAGGAGGCGTCTGGACAAACTCACTCATAGGGCTGGAGAGGAGTCTGGATAGTGACGGTCACCCTCTTTAGCCCGTCCTGCCACCCTCCTGTCTGTGAGCTACAAAAAGGAGCGCCGTCACAACACAACGGATGACCTGAATGATCACACTTCGGCTACTTGGACATGAGTAAGATACTCCAGTAAAGTTATCCTGCATCTTGAATGTGTGTTTGCATGAGCTGCGCTCAAAATAAGAAATAAAAGCTCCCCAAAGCTGCATTTCAAGAAGAAATTTAAACATAGTTCAACTTCTAATTTCTGCAAAATGAAGAGATCAGAAGCCATGCCTTTTTCTGCACAAGCAGGATTCACTCCTGGAAGAGGGTCCAGGAGTGGATTACATTTTTTTTGTGAGGTCATCATCCTGCACAAGCACAGCGTCCCAAAATCATGCATGCATAAGTTTTTATCATATTTCAAAAGCCTAAATTGAATACAATGAGCTGGGGACTTTTGTTCCTCTTTGTTACTGGTTGTTTTATTGCCTGTTTGGCATCCTATTGTTTTTAAGTTCTTGGTTTTTTAGTTCCCTTTCCCTATTCTGTTTTCCTGTTAATTTGGTATTTGTTGTCTCTAATTTAAATCTAAAAAGAGTAAATGAATCTATGATTGAGATTGAATCTCCTGATTGAGTTTCAGTTTTCTCCTGTATATCATAACAGTAATCTGGAGCTAAAACTGTTTGAAATAATCAGTTTGGATGCCCGTGGTGGGTTTGGATTAGTTTGCATTATGTTTATGAGACAATGACCCCACAGATTATGAAGTCATACAGGCATCAGTCTTACGTCTCATTTAGATTGAATATGGGACATCTAATGTTACTGGATTTCATTTGTGTGTCTGTTGCTTTGTGTAGCTTGAGGTGAAAAGTTAAGAACCCCCCTCAGATTTATCTACCCAGCAGCAGAGACGCCGACCAATCAGACGGCTCATCAGGTCGAGGGTCTGATCCGGCGGTGGATTGCTGCTCCAGTTCCCAGCATCAGCACCAGAAAGCTGCCTTATATTTCCATTCTACAGTCCTTTTCACCGTGATTCACTCCACTTAAACCTCCGTGACATCAGAGGATTTTTACATAAGATCCTTACAAAGACTTAAATGATAAAGCGCTGCTGTGACACCACATCTGTCTTTCTGCAGATGTAATCTTCACAGTTTTACTTTTCGGATTTAACGTGCTTTGAAAATACCTTGGCCGCCAGATGGTTTGCCGCTTCCAGTCATTGCTCCAGATGTTTGTCTCTGCAAAAGAAAGAGAGAAAGAACTGATTTCACATGCAAAAACTGCACAACGTGTAAAGCTGTGGATATAAACACAAATCATCCACTCATACAGTTCTCTCAAACATAATTGGATTCAATTTGCATTTGCCACAATGACTCAAGTTTTTCCTGTTCCAGTTTGCTTTTTGCAGCCATCAGCTACACTGGACGGTAACTGGGCAGTGTGGGCTGGGATTCAGGATGAGAAATGTGGATCTATAATCCATGTTTTTGCCCTGACAACTCCAGTCTGCTCCCCTCTGACAGGCTGCTGCTGCCCTCCATTACAACAAGATGAACACCGGCCAGCATCCAAAAGCAGCCTGTGAGGCTTCGCTCACTTCAGGATGTATCAGCTTCAAATGGGATGATTAACACACACTGTTTCATTTTTTCCATTCACGGTGCAGCTGTGAATTGTGGGAATGATTTGATTGAGAGCACATTGTCTTTCATCGATCCGTCGGCCAGCAGAGACCATCCCTTCGTCTCTCCAAGCACAGCCTGAATTATTAATCCTCTACTTTCAAAGAATTTTAGATGCCAAAGCATTTTTGATGTTTGTGAGTCGAGTGGGAAAGTGGTAAAACAGAGAAAATCTGTCTCCCCTCGCAGCCATCGCAGGAGCCGGTGGAGGAGAGGCTTGTTTGGCTCTGTGACCATCTGTTTGTTCTGTTTACTCTCCCAAATCAAAGGGAGCCGCTGCCTCTGGGACTTCAGGCACATCGCTGACTCATCTGCTGGATTCGTGCTCTGGTTTTTACCGGGAGGGGGTGCACGCACCGTCATGGTGCCGTACATCCCACCTTCAGCCAGAGTGGACATTAAGGAGCAGAGTCTCTCAGAGTTTAAAGTTGCAGCACAATTTGCAGCAGAAATCGAGACAAACACCCTGAAATGAAGTAAAAATTAACCCAGAGATCAAAGTTCTGTAGTTTAATTCTTTAGGGTTACAACATGACTTAAGATCCATATGTAAGAGAAAACTTTCTCTTGTGGTCACCTTTCCTTTGATGAATGTCTGCAGCTTATCGTGAGGGCAAAAAAAAAGTCTTCTTTTTCTTTATATGGTAAGGCAGTATCCCCTTTGCAGTAACATTTACAAAATCATAACCCCATGTGATGGAAATATGAGCCTGAGCATGTTGAGATCCAGTGAACAAAACTTCACAGGTATGTTATCAATGCTCTTTGATAGCATCTCCTTCACTTCATAACCCGCATGCTGAATCACTTCCCGCAGAGCAGCAGACCGAGCACCGCTTGAAAAGAGATGCCAGAAAAGTGGAGCCAGGCTTTTTTTTGGTCGAACCTGAATGAGAGTTTTGTTGTCTGCTTTTTCACACAGAAATTCAATTGAAATGCAGACACTGCCAAAAGGAAGACACTTGAGAATGACAGTGATTGTCTTTTTCTGGCCGTTGAACATAACAAAAAACAGATAATTTGACCCCTGTGTTCATGTCAGCAACTTCACAGCTCCTCACCTGAATGAGCGCAATGGATTCCTGGTTAAAAGCACTTATATCCTGAATAGTAATGAGCATCAGCTCTTCATGTCTGAACACAAACTGATGTTAGATTCAAACTAAATGAGCCTTTAATTTCACATGCAACCTGCAGCTCAATGGTTACACATGGTAGGTTTGTGTGTCAAAGGAATTCTTATTTCTGACTACTTCAGATATTGAAATAATACGAGCTTCAGAGCTTCTGTTCGACGAAAAGAAGCTGTGACGGTACAGCTGTCCGTTGTGTGGTCAATCCTCCATCCTTAATTATTAATCAGATTGGAAACCAATCTGATATAAGCAATCAAAAGTCTTGGATTTTTTTTTTAATGGTCATTCGGTCATAAAATCCTTGTTCTGGAAAGTAGCTCCTCCAGTCTGTTCCCTGAAAACTAGATTAGATCTGAGAGGAAGATTTGTCCAGATTTAAACTAGCCTGAACTGTTTGTGCAGCACATTTTAACCTGCGTGGGTGTCCACTTTTGATTAAGCCTCGCACCTGCCAGCACAAACCACAGAAGCCGGGAATGCTGCAATCAATTTCTATAATGGCAAAGAAACTTCAGTCCCTCTTAATTAGAAACACTGAGGGAGGGAGCTAAAAAGGACTCTCGGTATACTCTAATTTGATTTTAAAGAGCAGATAAAGGTATGAGTAGTCTGTATCATGAAAGGAAGGTTAAATTAAAGGCTTGCATAAAGAAAGTAACTTAAAAATAGTTTTTTTGTCAGGGTGATTTAGATGCAGGCCCACTAAGCCTCTCAGCCAGGACAATCTGAACTCTTGAGGGCTCTTTTTAATCTACATTTAGGAGCAGCCAGTTGAGACGTGAATATTTTTAATCTCAGCTTTGAGAACTGCCAGCAGGGAACCTGCTGAGATCACTCAAGGGTCAAATCAATGTGTGATGTAACAATATGCCAGAACTATCCATGCGCTAAAGCCTCACTAAGCAGCATCTGATGCATAAATCCCTCTATTGTCTTAGCCTTGATCACCTGGTGTGTAAAACAACACAGAACCTCCTTTCATTACTTTGATCCTGGAGTTTTTCCAAAGATTGTTTTTTGTCATGTCCACAGAAGGACACTTAAACAGTGGATTTTTATTGTCTTTCAATCTCTATCAATACAGCAAACGGTATTTTTCTTTCTTTGTAAAGAGTACAAAAATCTCAGCCTTCTCAGACCATGTTTAAAGCATCTCTTAGAATCAGATATTTTCAGCGAAGACAATCTGAGCCCTTAAAATAACTACAAATGACATTACCCTAAAAAGAACAAATAGCTAAGAAATAAAGAAAAATAACAGTTCTTCCACTCTTGCCTTTAATGTGTCACATAAAGCAACACACAGTCACTTTAAGTGCTGCTAAAAAAGCACAACTCCTCATTTAGGAGCCGCATGAGAGGGTATCATGAGCCAGTCTTTTATGGCCAATAGCATGCAGAGATACACAGAAGTTAGCACTGTGTTGCTGGCTGGTGCTGGGACAGAGTTTGTGTACAACAAAGATGTTGTCCTGTTGCCCTCCCTGGAGGAAGCATGGTGTGTGCATGCTCCACTCACATATGCTGCAGACAGAGGGAGCTCCAAAGATGGATGGCAGCGATGATAATGATGTTAATGTTATTTATCCGTCTGTGGAGTGCCATTCTGCCTGGCATAGCTGACTAACGATGAAAAGAGCCTGGCAAACGCTAGAAACTGTTCCCCTTGGATGGGAATCTGCATGAGGTTGCCCTGCATTTGTGAGTTCAGTGCTCAGATGTGCTTAATACAGCGTGACCCTACACACAAGCACGCAAAAACATGATCCAAACTGTTTTAAATCCTTCATGACGAGGTCAGATACATCGGTATATTAACTTCTACTGTTAGAGCAGCTCGGTTCTTGAATCTCCAAGTCCAAAATCCACAAAAAAAACAGCTGGCTTTGGAATGCTGAGTTTACATTTTTAATGCCCTCTTCAAAAATGTATTGTTTCTATCCTTTCTTTATGCTGTGAGGCACACATATCAATACTGACTGATTTGTAAAGCTGTAATTATGAATAAAGGGTTGCTGTGGACATGGGTGATATTTGTCAAATAAATAAATTACCTTGTCAGTGTACGTGGATGCTATTTTTGGGTCTTATGGCAGCTCGGACTCCCCAGAGAGACCCCATGCTGCACTCAGGATCCATTAACAATTTAAGAGAAGGAAGCAGAACTAGGTCACAGACAGCTCATCCCGGCCCCATCACCCCTCGGTTGTAGCGTCCCCTCCACCAGTTTGGAGTGAGGGATGACAGCACGGAAGACGGATAAGTGGCAGAACAAACTGGGTGACTAACTATACTCTTCTCTCATCAAATCAGTCCAGCCGCTCTGTACGGGTTTTTGTTTTGGTCTGTTTTTGACAGAAGACTGTAAGATATTTACAGTTCAAGTGGAGCCGAGTTAAGAATAGCAGTTTTGCTCTAAAAAAAGCAGCATTTTAAGCTTCAAAAGTCCCAAAAAAGACCACAAGAATTTCTAACATCAGCGTCTTAACATCACAGTGACAAAACTGCAGCCCTGGCAGCAGCTAAACGCCAGCAAATCAATCACAATATAAAACCATGCTCACCATCTTAAATGCTGAGCTTTGCAGACAAAAATATTGCATACCTTCTAAAAGTTTAGCCTGAACACAACAGCAGCTCCATTTAACTGCATTTCAGTTCAGTTCAACACAAATCAAGGAACATTTAAGAACACCTCAGGTCAAAATAATCATGGATTAAAGCTAAAAATATTTTTTCTGAATTGTATATTGTGTCATTATGGGACATTCATCAAATTTGTGCCGAAAATGAAGACATTTTGTGAAAATCTGTTGTGGTGCAGACTATGTTCCAGGGAACAAAAGCTAAAGACACAGAATGTAAGGCTTAAATTGTGTGTATTCCTTCATTTCAACCCCTGAACTATTAAGATAAAGAGTAAAATAGTGCAAATTAGGAATATTTCCCTTCTGTGAAACGTGTGAATCATATAAAGCTTTAATGATGGTTGAATTAACTGACCTCCCTAATTTTATTTAGTTTGTGTCTTTGTCATTCTGCAGAGTGACTCAGTGAGTGGTCTTAAGTGTAGTAAGACCTCCATCTATGGGAAAAACATCCCCGAGAGATATTATGTGAAACAGTACAGCTTTTTGCCAAAACCTTCTGTGAGCTTCTTCACAAAAGCCGATGATCCAGTTTTGCCAGTTTAGGAGGAACCTGCAGCACCATCCACAAACTACCCTTCAGCCCTTATTTTTCCTGTAAAGCCCTCTCAGAAGCTGCGACCGGGCACCAGAAAAGCCTGCTGACAGTTGAAGTGGATAAAAGATTAAATCAGCGTAATCTCTGTTCATCTTTTAAAGTGGGACAGTGTTCTTCACAACAAATCAAAGAGATTTGCAGACTTAAAGATATTCATATTTGTTTTCAAAAAGTGAGAAAGATCAGGCTGAATTATCACGATGAGCTAAAGAGAGTTTTTTTCCCCTCTAATCACCACTTCGGTCTGGATTTCAATCACTTTATATGTCTTAAGTCAGCAAAAGGGAGTTTTAAGGGAAACCTATCCCTCACTACTTCTACCCACTCAGCCCTTTTTACATTGATCAGCAGCTTTTAACACTCTAGTGTCATTAATTTAATAAAAAGGACTCTGGTCCTCTTTGGATGATGAAACAAATGGCTTTGCCAAGTAGCCACCACAGCCACCACTTTCCTTGTGATTAAAGTACGGGATAGGTAAACAGAGCAGCAGACCTCTGAAATGTGAAAGCACTTAACTGCAGGACCAGCCGTCCGTTAAACAGGATATTCCCTTTAATAATACCCACGGACAGTCTTTCACCCATTACATTTTCAGACAGATGACCAAGGATTTGCCCCTTAATTGTTCACATATTGTGCGCGATTTCATGGAAATCTTTCGCAGAAAATCTTTCACAGAAAATCACGTATCTGGCTGCACAATAGCAAAATGTGTCACAATTAAGCTGCAGAGTAATTACACAGGCATTTCAGATTCACAATTCTGACTTTTGTGTCACTCGCATGCAATTTTGCAACTGCAAATGTGCTCATCTGCCAGTCACTGTATGCATATATATATATATTATATATATATATACATATATATATATATATATATCTGTTTGACTGAATAAAGGATTCTCTTGTTTGCTTAGATTTGCTTGTGTTTGGTTTTATGGTTGCACCAACATTATGAACAACCCTTAAGTGACACACAAATGAACATATATGAATATATAAGACCCCACGTCTGGGTCCTTTCTTTCGTGCACTGACCTCCTGGTGAAAACTGGGGCTGAAATATACCTAATCTGAAAGCGTAGCTGGAAAATTTAGCACATGCACAAAGCTGGCTGAAGTCTCTCCTCTGACTGCCTTTTAATTAAAATTCTGTTAAACAACCCGAGGCTTAAAGGGGGAGCAAGTCTCCGAATTACTGAGTTTTAAGCAGCCACCAGTGAGAGTGAGTTATTCTTCCTTTAATGTGTAAAAGAAACACAAAATCAGAATTCAACATCTCAAATTTTGGCTTCTACTCATGGATCACAACCCTAAACTCGAGTCCCAGAATAAGATGGTATGATAGCAGGTTCCTGTTTCTTTAGAAGCACTGGGAAGGTGGGGGTTTGTGCAGTGCACGTGAGCTCTGGATTTATTATTTTTATGCTTGAAAAGTAAATAAAAAGGAAGCTTCTGTATTTGGAAGCCAGTAGAATTGGGCCTGGAACTCAGCAAGGTCTCTTTATGTCTTTTGAAGATGATTCAAACTGCACACGTTACAACACCATCATAACGAAATTCAGAAAAATTATTGGCTAGATTTCCAAATTGAGCTCTGAAACTCTATGGGCGCCTGAAGAGGGCAAAGGTTAAAAGAAAAGAAACAAAATGTGACAGGACGCTGATTCATCCAGAGCAACCTGCAGCTTCCCAGCTCTCATCATCTTTTAAGTACACAATGAGATGCAACCAGGTTTCCTGACTTTTCCTCTTTTTAATGTCTTTTTAATGATATTCCTAACTTCACCGTGAAGGCTCGATCGTGCCACTGTACAAAAAGATGTGACAAGTAAACACGGTAAAAGATTGAAAGGAACAGAAGGGACAGGCGGTTTTGATGGCTGCTTACATGCCCTGATCAAGAGGAAATAAGCCATCCTGAAGCAATTGCTCCGGCTCTCATTACAAAGCTGCACAGCCTGCAGCTAAGAATCAATTAGAAGCACGCTTAAAATATGCATTTAAAATGCATTTTGTGCTTTCAGCCAGTCCAGTTCCTTTGGGTGAACAAACTCGTGATACGGTCTTACAGGGGCTTGTGCTCACACGTGCACACCGAGAATCTTTTAGGTCTCGTGCTTGGAAGCTACTTTGAATAATTCAGCGAAGAAAGGATGTGCTCTGTGGCGGAGGAGATTTCTTCCACTTCTCTTCACCGTCACATGACAGGAGACTCCTCACCAAAGGTTCCAACATCTCTCAAGCTCTGACCGCTCAAGCCAATTAAATAGGAAGTATGTGGATCCCTCAGTCTGCAGACTGACTTTCAAATGTCATCCTTTTGGCGTGTTCATACACCGTCCAGCAGGCATGCATGGGTGTGCAGTTAGCAGTAAATCACTGGCACATCAAAGCTCAACCTATTGACTTTGGTTGGATAAAAAACTGATCCTTGTTCCTCTGATCTTCTGCCTCATTTAGTCTCACCCTAACTCATTTTCACCCTTTGAGTCATTGAGTGAAAACAAAGGCACACAGTGAGCATGCATGTGGCAGATGCGTGCAAGGTTTGATTTTTAATGTCCAAATAGCATAAAAGTTATTGTTGTCACTGGAAAAGGAGATAAAGTAGTAATTTCAGGGGTTATAAATGGCAAGCAGGACCAGAAAAAAAAGCTATTACAGTCTTTAAACTACTCAGATTGTTCTAGTTAACCACATTTGAGGATCATGAAAACAAGAAATATCAGAGTTTTAGGATTCAGGTGGTTTTGCGAGCGTCCGCGTCTAAGGATCTGGTTTGCATTGCCCTGTGAATCTCCTACCTCACTCATGGCTGCGCTGCGCCCGTCTGTGTGATCCCAGCTGTCTGTGATGCGTCCCGACCAGCTGACTGAAGGTAAACTTCCCTCCAAGCTGCGCTCGGCGCGCCCAGGCTGCTTTTATAGCGCGCTCAGCCCCACATTTCCATGAAACCAATGAGCTCTGGGCTCCAAGTCTCCGGCTGAACAACCACAAACTATCTCCAATCATCTGCTACGTGCTGTTTTCGGCTGCTAGGAGGATGAAAATGTGAGCTAAATAACGAGTACACCCCCTCAGAGGAATAATCTGAGCAGATCGACCATGTGGAATAATGTGTTTACACTCGGCGTGTACTATTCGATGGTAAACACCACAACAGCCTTTGAATGTTATTAGCTTCCCCTTAATTTCTTGCATTCTGTTTACTGTTGCCTCGCAATTGCTGTTTCTGCATCACTGATAATAATTACAACACCAGAAGAGATACAGTGAAGAAACACACATCAGATAGAAGTCATGCTGTTTATTTTGTTCACTGCTTCAGTGGTTTCCTTTTCATTTTAACATGAAATAAATCTGTGCTGCTTTAGGAAAATAATCATTCTCCTTGGATTTGGAATGCTGGAAAACCTTACGTGGACATTCACCCCTCGGATGGGAACAGTTTAGGGTGTAACCTCTCTGGTCTAACTCATAATTCAGATTATTGATGCCCCACACACTAAACACTCGCTAAATTTAACTGCAGGTCTGGTCACTCTGAAGCAGCCACAAATTACAGATGTGAGCAGCTGTGCAGAGGAAGGTTTCCTTTATTTTGAGGGGGTAGAAAGACCTCCCCTTACATCCAGTCAGGTGTTAGCCATATGGCAGGTGGGAGATTTCAAGATGAGGCTGTAAAATCTGTGCAGTTAGAGCCAAATGAGGCTGATGGGCAGGCTGGCACCACACCCATGTCGGCCCTGCAGAGTGTGGGGCTGATGGGGAGCAGGCTGATGCAGCGGGGGGGTGCTTATATTGATTGTAATGCAGAAAGATGGAAAGTTGGATTATTTCTCCAAAATCTGAACCCAAAACAACTTGTGGGGTAGCTCAGAATGGTCACAGTTGGGAGCAGAGTTCAGATTTCAGTCTTGTGTAAGATGCACAATACTTCTGTAATGCTGACCACCTACAGAAAATAAGAATTATTCCCAATAATCTTAGACTTAATTATAACCTTTAATGGGGACATACCCATTTAATTTAGGGTCCAGACATAACATGTAATCCGCGAGATATCCAATGAAGGTTTATCAGCCTTGTTTTTGTAGCCGCAGGGTGCTGGTCGACTTCCCATCCTGCACCACTAAAAACACTGACACACTTTCATTAAAAATACAGGGGAATTGTTCATTTTAAAAGCTGCCATGAAACCCCCAAAAAACGTGGGGGCTCATAAAATAGATTAACATGAGATCACGTATAGATGTATACTCGATTAGGAGTGCAGCCTGTTTTTAGCAAAGAGTGAACAGAACTGTCTTTCCAGGGATAACATCAGCAGTCTTTGTAAACTCTAGACCTTCCCTGGCTGCACACCCTCAACACATATTGACAATCTGACAAAAGTGGGCTCTCTGCACACTACGTTGCAGGGTTATCCATTACTAGATGCCGGCCAAGTGCACCTTACATCCCTCAGTCAGATAGTCACTCGGCTTCATTGTGGTTCATAATGCTGCGCCTGCTATTCTAGTATCACTCCTCTGAAAATGTTACTTTAAAATAGATATGTGTAACGAGAGATATTTGTTGCACAAAGCAGAGGCAACGCCAGCATTTGTTGATAAAACTGACCTCTTGGCAAAGATGATGAAAGCCAGGCAACATTTTGCAATGTTATCACAACTGGATTGTGTCGACGTGTAACAATTAAATGCTCATTACATTTTGCCAGCCTGGGGCTCATGCCAGCGGGAGGCATGTTTACCATCCAGCTCCCTGCACTGTCAATTTGATGATTGGAGTCTGGCTTTGGAGATTAATTCATCAGACATTACTTATGTAAGGGTAGAACTGCTTAGGGAAGCATCCTGAGAGCCACACTTTATATTGCTTATCGATAGTCATTGCTGTGGCTATATTCATTAATTTTATTGGTTCTGTCTATAGCCTCTTTCGGACGCTGATGCTGATATATTTATCTGTATACTATCCTTAGAGGTCCAAAGAATTGTCAGTGGGGTGGTACCCTCAAATGTTCTGCTTTTTACCTTTGTAATTTGTCCATTTACTACTTGATAATATAAGTGTTCTTTTTTGGCCTCTAAAAGTACAAATTTGTGCCTCAGCGTCCACTTATTACTCCTATGGGGTATTTGAGTTAAAGAAGTGCCTCAGGGGACAGAAATGTTTCTCGTTTTGACATGTACATGGAACCAGACGAGCTGCTTTTTGGCTTGTCTGATCAAATCAGATTAGATTCACAGCCGTATGTTTTTAAAATAGGACAAATATACAACTACAACCATCCCCATACAAAATATCTGAACAGCGAGCCAACTGAAACAGCACAAAGCAACGATGCAGCTTCAAAAGGGAGAAAATAAAGCATCTTCTTTCAAGCTGAGGCCACTTATCCTCTGTGAAAGAAACTAAATGGAAGAGAACATTACTGTCTGTAATCTGATTTCCAGAGTGGAGACATAAACAAAGCAGGTAATCAGATTTCGTGTTGGGTTTCTCAGACTTCTTACTGCAGGATGTTGAGCCTTTCGCCCATCAAGCCACTCTAACACCCTCTGCATGTTAATGCTGCGTGAGAATCACTCCCATCATTTGTTCTGACTTGGACATGTCAGGAGAAGTTAGTGGAGACGTGTTTGCTGAGGCAGACGTAGTAAGAAGGTAAATCCCAGCTGGCATTTCTGTAACCGAGTCATTTGGAAACAACAACAAAAAAATCAGTATTGGAAGCAACACAAAAAGGAAGATTTCTTGACATTTTTAAATATGGAAAACTATGGCAGTTAAAAGCACACAAATGAGCAGGCTCTGAACCACAGGTCTGAAATAAAGACGCCCACATCTGTTGCATCTGGCCTCTTTAACTGCCTCCTTTAACCACCACTCTTTTTGCTTTAAGCTTTTCCATCACTGTGATTTCATTTTTGCATCTTTCCTAAAACCAAAGCAATGCTAACAGCACCTTTCACAGCCAAAGTGAAGTTAACAAAACTAAACTGAAAGTATTTCCTATTGTTGAACACTAGGGGATATAGTCTGTGGATTATAAATGAAAAGTAGGTGGAAGTGAGGCATCAGTTCCCTTTTTAGACCACACACTCAAACACTGGGTCTTTGTATGACTTTATTTAGGTGTGGTTAGAAAATATAGCTCATAGTTGGGCTTAAAATTGTGCTTTTAGCTGAGCGGATGCCATGGATGAAGTTTAACTGGCTGCAGTGGTTACTTCCAAAAAAATCATGTCTGTTCAAAGCTTTGTCGCTTCCTGGTTGAGTCTATTGAATAAAGGACTTTGTAGGGTGAAAAACCTAAGAAATATTTGGCTAAAATAGTTTCTTTTTACAAGCACCTCTCACTGCTGTGGATACAGCGTAGCCCTCCAGATGCAAATGATTTTACCAGAGGTAACATCTTCTTTTAAGCAGACCTTTGTCATGGGTGAAGTTTGTTGTACTAATTCTCCATTTGCATTACACTATGAGAACCTTGTCATGAGTAAAGATTATTCACTGTGGTTGTTGTTTTGGAACACTTATGCCTAGGAAGTTCTCATCAAAAATCTGAATTTCAGGCCACATGGTGTGGATGTGTGATATTGAAGCCTTGTGTTTCCAGCTTTTGTGTCTCGAGGTGGCTGGAAAACGTTAGTCAGTGCAGCTTCGGGGATGTATCAGAAGAGCAGATAAAAGCGACTCTTTCTTCCTGCCGCAGAGCTAAAAGGGATCACTGCGGGACTCAAAACTTGTCACTCAGTGAGCTTTAGGGCAAACGGAAGGTCAAACTGATTTTCCGGACCTCGCCCAGCAACCCAGTGAAATTGTAAATCTCCTGGTAAGTAAAAGGATAAGATGGGATTCCTTTATTGTACACAGAGAGCATGCACAGGACTCAGATGCACTCGACAAACTGGAACCATCGTGCTCTAATCAATAAAATGATAAGAGGACAGGTCTAAAAGTGCCACATTGCACAGCCTTTCTTCTTTTCTGCTGAGCTGCTTCTGCACCGTGTGAGGATTACAAAGGTCCGGACACTCTCAGTGGAGCAACAGTAGAAGGAGACTAAGGCAAGTCGTGACAGTCCAAGTTTTCCGAGGTTTCTGAGGAAGTGCAGCCATTGTGTTTTTTTTTTTAACACTGAGTTGGTGTTTCAAGTCTATGTGAGGTCCTTTGAGATGTGTTTTCCCAGGAATATATAAATGGAGAGATTTTCCACTGTGTCATTGTTAATGGGAAGTGGCTGCTGCTCCTTCTGTTTCCTGAAGTCTTTTTTGGTGTTCATTGTCAGGCTGTTGTCTGAGCAACAGCCTCTCTGGAGGCGCCTTCATGGCCCTCATTAGCCAGCCCAACCACTGTGGCGTCATGGGCAAATCTGACCGTTTTGTTGGTGTTAAAGGCTGGAAAAGAGTCGCGTGTGTGGTACAGGGAGGAGGGCGCTCTGCAAACAGCTTTGGGGTGCTTCAGCACTGAGTGACGGATTACAGGAGTGACGGTGTCCCCGACCGACTGCATGTGGGAAGGCATTTCGTAATGCGGCAGGTGCTGGTGGCATCATCTACCAGAACTTGAAGCTAAAACCTAACTGTCACATTTGCCACTAATTAGGAGAAAATACAAATTGGATTTTCATTGACTCTTTGAAATAGGTCCCATTTTAGTCTGTTACAAATTGAATGAAACTCTTAATTAGCTGCTGATAATGGCACTAAAGTCAGGGAACAGCTTCTTATCACCTCATAGATCCAAAGTAAGAGGCTCTCACTGGCCTGTGTCTCATCCTAAAGCTCTGGCAGGATGAGTTTGCTGCTTTCTGGTGCATCGTGACTCAACAAACTAAGTCTAGTAAGATCAGTTTCCCTGGCATGTCGAGTCCTCTGAGTTCAGCCAGTTTAGCTGACTGGTTAACATTTAATTTGTTTAATTACTTTGAATATAATTTAGTTTTTATTCTATTTATGTTCTGAACACACAACCACCAAAAATAATAGATGTGTATTCATTATATAGGTTTAATTCAGCACACAAATGCTAAATCATTTTTAGGAATCTTCTGCATTAAATCCCACCTGTCTTCACTGTAATTAGAAGCTAACCTATTCTGACTGAATGGCTCTTTTTAAACGATGCAGCCACATTCCAAAGCATTGTAAAAATGCAACCTGAATCCAATTCAAACAGAGTTTTTTAAGTCCTTTTTTAAGTTTCTTATTTCTTTAACATTTACAAAAACTAACAATTGATGAAAGGATTTTAAACCATAACAAGTTCACATTGTAAATCTCATACATGAAATTTCACTTAAACCAGAAATTGAAAGATTGGAAGGTGTAGAAAATATTTATTATAACATAAGTGTATTGTCAACAATGGATAGCGCTTCAGATAATAAAATGTTTTAGAAGAGACTCAAATACATTAAATATCATTTCCCCAACTTAAAACGCAATGTTTCAGTAAAAAATACATAGTTCAGCAAGAGCATAAAATTGTTTTCAGATAAAATTGATTGAACAGCCTCAATATGACACTAGATCAGTCTTAGTTCTGAGAAGATGCAGGCATTCCTTCAGACTTTACTAACACGTTCACATGTCCCCTGTGTTTGTAGAGGTCCTGGTCTTTAGTCTGTTCCTACACAGTGGTCGCATGTCTGTGTTTCATGAAGCCTGCATTGCCATCACTAAAATCGGGCAACTAAAAGAACAAGATGATACAACAATATTAGCAATCATATATGGGTCACAGTTTTCAAAGAGAAAGTCATGCCAAATTTATTCTCTAAGGTTTGGTTTTAGATGGTGCTGGTAATTAACTGAAAAGCATAACACAAGGAATTCAAAAACAGAAAGGCTTCTTGTTAACACTAAAAAGAGGACATAGATCTGTCCCTCACTAAACAACAGGAAGATACAATGCCACTACTGGAAGCTAAGATAGCTACAATGCTACATACTATTTGATTGTTGATGAGAAAATGTGGCACAGGTACTTGTAAATCACAAACCTACCTCCAAAATGTCGGGAAGATTTACATGGTAAACGTTACTTTCGGTGACATCATTGGAACCTGCAGACAGAGAACAAAAGCAAGAGCAAAGCTGAGTGACCAAAAAGTTCCACCAAATAAACCAAATGAACTGCCAACGATTTTGATGTCAAAGAGTACAAAGACTCTTTGGGGTGTGTTTATTTAATTTCAACCTGCACTATTACCATGTGCTCTTACAGCTCATTTGATATTACAGTGTGCATGACATCCATAGTTCTAAACAGAGTAATGTTTCTGGTATATATTTTATATTCCCCATTTGTGTTTTTGTCCATGACTAGGGCTCATTATAACTGAACACAACTGATTGTGTATTTGACATAGCACGATTTGTAATTTTCATTATTATCTTACTAAAATATTTAGCCTGTGTTTGGTCTTACCTGTCTGACCATCGGACACAAAAGATGGATTTTCTTGTCCATGTTTGTCTCCAGGTGCAGTGATGCGACCTAGCTGGCTCTGTGTCCTCACTCTTCTGTTTAAAGCATAGATACACCCAACAATTTAACGAGATGCTCACATTTAGTGGCAAAATGTACATTGACAAATGCAGGTGGTAGCTGACCTGACATCATCGTCGTAACTTCTTTCTATAGGAAATCATAAGTCAAAAAGAAGCATTAGTTACAACAGAGCCCAATATTTCCCCTTCTCCCCACTTATATAAAAATAAGCTGTTGACATTTAATGGGTTTCTTGTAAAAAATGTGAAAGTTGAGTGAATTACTTTTTTCCTTCCTGCGTTTGTAGCAGAACATGATTCCTAGGATCAGCAAAACCACCAGAGCAAATCCACCGAATGACACAACCACAGCTATGAGCACAGTCCAATCAGGGAAAACTGTGGAGAGAACAAATCCTATTAGTGTCAAAAGAAACAATAATTAATACACCTAAAAGGAGGACAAGACTTATATACTGAATGCTACATCACTTAAGATAGTGATAACACTAAAAACTGAATGCTGCACATCATTGGATTTCATTAATTTGTTTTTATATGCGAAGTATTTTTTTCCTGATGCAGAAATAGACTTAAAAGTCTAGGAGAAATGGCTGGATGTGAAGATAATTGAATATTACATGGTGTTCATTGGCTGAATTGGAAAGGAAAACCTTTATCAAAGGCAACGTTTCTGGACAGACTCAGAAAACTGTGGATTCCCTGAGCTGTCAGAAACCATTGGCACTAACAGGCAAGAATAAGGAGAAATGCAACACCCCTGCCAATGTTCAGCCCATGGACAGAAAACCACAAATCTTAAATACAGAAAAGGATGATTAGTGAGTGGAGTCAGCTGGGGCCATAACACAGGTGAATGGAAGGGAGTGGATGAATAGATGGGAAAACCGCTGTGGAGATGATGGTGAAAAAGGCCAGAAACAGAAACAGAAACTTCGAATAAGAGACAAACTAAGAACTTGGTAAAACACCACAAACACAAACAACAGAAATGACAAAACAAGCTAAACTACAAGAGAGCCCAAAACCGTGATGACCGTGAAACATAAACCAAAACATCCACAACTCGTGACAAAAATCTATTTAAATTTCATTTAATTTTTTAAGTCACCAAACATGTCCCGCCTTCGTAATTCTTCTGCCCCAGTTTTTGGCTGCATCTGCATTCAAAATGCGCCAGAAGCCAAACAGGTTTAATTTGTTTTATCGTTTGCATCAGACGGTGTTCCCACTCCTGATCATGTTTCCTGTTTAAACTAAACTGGAGAAACCAGAGTCTTCACTTCCTCTGAAATGTATCTGTGTTCTTAACATGTGATCCCCACGGTCTCTGTGCACATCTTGGGAGAAACTGTACACTCAGGGTTTTTGCTGTTATTTGCCATAAATCATCTGTTTAATGGGGTTTTTATTGAGTTAAAACTTGATTTTATTAGATTAGAAGTTAATTTACTCAGGTTATGCTGTACACATCTATATGGAGCTCTGTTTGTGGTCTCATTTCTGAGATATCTGCTCAGAAATGTAAATGAATGTGTTCCTGAAGTATTGAAGAAATCACTTATCTTTGATAAGATCAAATTAATTAAACCAATTCTTGGATGCTGAGTATCTAATTCGTAATTGGTGTCAGATAACGTTGTTAGAGGCGATGGTTTCCATCTCATAGTAACACCTGAAGACGCCTTTTCCCATGTCTGTTTACACCAACGCAGGCTCCATCCATCTGGGCTCTGGTTTATCAGCTTTTGGGATAACTGTACAAAGGTTGGCCTGTAAGTCTCTTTCATCCAGGCCTCATCCTGCCTCTGGTCCAGTGCCTACTGGGATAGACCCCAACCCTGGACAACCCTAAACTGTATTACGTGGAGGCAGAAAATAGATGGATGTTTGCAGAGCAGCTGGGCCAGTGGAAGATAATCTTTTTTAATTCACAGACAGACAGACAGACAGACAGCAGAGACAGAAAGGCTGCACAAGTGTTTCTTACCGACATCCAGGAAGACAGAGCTGGATTTTGGGGTCTTTAGTCCTGGAACAGTAGCCAAGCACTCAACTGTTGTGTCCCCGGCGGCCTGAAATGTCAGGATACTGGTGGAGTTGAAGTAAGTAGCGTTGGTGGAGGACTGGTACGGGCTGCTGCTGGTGTTGTACAGGCTGCTGTCCACAGCTTCACCGTTTTGTCTCCAGCTGACAGACGGTTCGATGAACCAGTTAGTCGATACACACTCAAACTTTACCCCAAATCTGTGCCTCACAGTCACATTTCCTCCAGTGATGCTGACCAAACCAGTCTCTGACAGTGAAGGAGGACAGAGGAAAGTTAGATGGACGGGGGATACTTTGAACAACCGATTTCATGAGATATACTAACAATCATATCTGTTCATAGGACTTTCAAGTGCAATCTTGGTGGTCTGATGCCATATTTCAACAGGATGAACAAGGGTTCTCCGTATACTTCACAGGAAGTCAAAACTATCAACTATTAATATGTGCAGGAATTATTTAAAAGGTGTTTCAGAGAAGGTTTTTTTCATTCTACTCAGAGGTCAAAGCTCCAAAGTGTCTGTAAATCTGCAGTTTTACCTTCTCAGCAGATGCCAGAAGCTGCGCACTGCTGCCCTCCACAGTTTATTCTGTGAGCTACACCTCCCATTTAAGTTTTTTTCCACTTTTTGTGTTCAGATGTAGAATTTTTAACAGCGCAGCAATTTAAAAGACATGAATAGTGACAGAGTAAAAGTGAAGGTTTTTGTTCGATTGCTCCAGACTTTTTAATGGGTAATTCTGACTCTCAAAACAGAAAATAAAGCATGCTGTCCAGAGGTAATAGGTTATTTATACCGACTTTATCCTCACCTTGAACATAAAGTTGTGCTGTCTTCGGGGTTGCCCCTATCAAAGCACAGCTGACCGGTCCAGTGTTTGCGGTGTTGACGTCATGAATGGTGAAAGTCACACAGCTTGTGTTTCCACTGACGCAGAAATTGGCAGAAAACTGATCTGATGACTTATTTTCAGTGGTTTCGGAAAAAATCAGGACTAATGTTGTTCCGACAGTCCAAGTCATCACCTGCCATGGTCCCTGCACGGTGGCATTGAATTGTGCGTCAGAGCCCTGCAACACTGTTGAGTTCAGGGGTGCCAGCTGGAACTCCACTGACATCACTGCACAGAAAAGAAACTTTATTTATCAAGATATCACAGCCTGCATGCATTTAGCTAGTTTGAAATATACATTTCTCATTGTTTCACGTTCAAGCTCTCTGATTACTACAGTGAATTGAGCTGATAACCTGAATCATGACAACATTTTTTCCAGTGATAACATTTCTGCAGTGGAAACATTTTGCAACAGTTATTTCATATTATATCACCGCCTCAATGCTCCAACATTCCTGCATTAGTATACAGAAAGACACACAGGTCACCATGTGACTGGTGTCTTTGTGCATGCTTTGTTCCCCTCAGTGCTTGAGTTGTGTTTGTATTTGCTGAAGGTGTGTTAAAATTACAAAAGACATTGAGTTTTTCTGTGGAGTCTTTATGAGACCGAAACCCAAACATATGAAAAGTCTCAGCTGATCCCTCACATGTGCCCCATCAAAGACGAGTTGTTGAAGTGATTCTGCCAAATGTCTGAGGCGAGCGTGACCGTTTCCGTTTTATTCACAAAAGGCTCGTTAGGTTCACAGCAGAGTTTGGTTTCAGAGCTCACATTTTCTTTACAGAGCGCCACAACCCGACTTCACATTTGTTCAAACATTCATGCAAATTGTGGTTTAAAAAACGTTGGCATCAATCACCAGAAATGCCTGTTTGGTTTCCTCCAAAAGAGCCAATCGGACCAACATGGTAGAGGTCAAAATATTAATAACTCTTCTTTCTCTGCTACAAGTGGATTCGTCATTGTATTCACACACATCATGTTCCTCACAGTTTATTTAAAACTATTGTTTAAAACTGTTTTAAATCTCTGCAGGATCTTAAATAATTTATTTGCAGAATTAACAATGCGTGACTGTTTACTTTTCTCATGAAAAGTGTCATGAATAACTATGTGTAGTATCAAATTTGACAGATTCTGGATCCATCAGAGGAGGATGTAAATTTTATGGGGAAGCTCAGGTTAAAGCACACAGAGGGAACTAGAAATATTTTCAAAGGGTTGGAAATCCTTTCACTGTACTGTGATGACAAACAGACATTTTCTTTACACAGAAAGACTCTCAAGGAAAGATTACACCAGTTAATTACTCACCTTTACACAGTAGTGGAGGGATGTAGAAAAGGTAAAACCAGGATTTCCAGGGGAGCATCGTGCTACGCTGTAATCTGGAATTCAATTGAGATAGCAACTATTATCTACCACGGACGTTTTGATGAACGCTACATAGATATGCCCAAAAAACAAACAAATTATTTTTTTTAGACTCAAGAACCAGCAGAAAGAGGTTATAATGAATGCGTTCATTGTGTGATAGTTCCTCCACTCTAAAGCAGAACACTAAGGACAGCCTGTAACATCCAGTTTCATCGCCTTACTTGAAATCAATTAAATATTTTACCGCTATTTCATACATTGCTGTTTTGATATCTATGCCCAAATTCATCATATGGCTCAGCTTAGAGTTTCATATTCAATTAGATCAACTTACTGTGTCAGTGCCTGCTGTGGTGTGTGTGGAGTCGATCAAATCCTCATTTCCTGAAACAGCAGGTGAGCGGCAGACTACACCTTTGGTCATGAACCTGCCACAGGGGGCAAGGTTCAGCCACAGTTTCTGTCATCAAGCCTTTATCTGCTCTACCTGCTCGTCATCAAGTCATAAAGCCGCAAACGTTTTGACATGATGACAACACCGACGGGTGGGGTAGAGGGAAACGCCTGTACGAGGTCATTTATGACTTCTTATCTTATTAAGAAGTTTGAAAAAAAAATATTTGACAAAATAATATCTGAAACTTGAGTTCACCACAGCATGGCAAAGCTAAAAAAAGTCTCTGAAAAATGTTCAAGGACTTTATTTGCCAGAGAGGGAAGTGTTGAGGCGTCAGCGTCTGAGTGATGTTTTCCTGCCGACCACCAGAGGTCATGGTAGGATTGTTTACCCCCTCCACATGTGTCACACATTGAAATGAACAGCTTGCAGGCTTGCTGACATTTAACTGTTACTTCCTTTTTTAACTCTTATTGAAGATCTTTGTAACAAAACGGAGAAGATACATACATTACATTTTTATGCATTAAACTTATTAATGATGATATTCATAAGTTCATTCTACAGTAATCAATAATGATTCAATAATCAATATATATCAAATAATTCAGATTAACTAATATTTTGAAACAGGATATAAATAAAATGTTAAACATTTATTTTTATTTTTCCTTTATTGTGGTTGTTGTAAAATCGTGTATCTGAATTCTGCCCCAAAAAAAGATAAAAAGTACCTAACTTTGCACCTTTAAACAGGTGAACGCTTCAGACTGAGGTTAAGTGACTAAATCTTGTGTTTTGCCTGCTTCTATTTGTTGTCAGCAACCACCAAACAGTTACAGCACTTTTACAATGCGTCGCAGAAACAGGGAGCAATTTTTTATGGCACATAAAAACATTACAATGAAGCTTTGTGTATGCTCAGTTTCACAGTATGGGGACAGTTTGTAAAAGCAACAAAAATCCATTGAAACTGGAGATGTAATTGCCAATTAAACTATGTCCTTGTCCTTCAGCACAGGAGCCTCATGATGAGCACATCCCGAATGCTGCCTCGCAAAAGCAGGCAATGTGATCTGCCTTTCCTCTGTTCTGGTCGTGGACTCCTACTGGCCACAGCCGCCATTTTATGAGGGTAACAGTATAGTACAAACTGGAATGTCTCCAGACACAGCTAGTATTGTATAGGCATAAGCAGGCAGACAACCATGAAAAACAGGAAGAAGATAGTGGGGGAGGGTCAGAAAGAGCAATGCTATGATCCCATTGCACAAGGCCAGCAATGGAAGTAATTTGGGGGCCCCCTCTGCCACCAGAGCCTCCCTGTCAGGGATCATCAGTCATAACGTATCACACGCGCTAACCGGCTGCTTGACTTAACCATCCTTTTGTTTCACTGTACTATGTGCAGCCATAGATTAGTTCCATTCAATTGCTCCCTTATCACAAAAAAAAAACGAATTCACAATGCAACACTTTTCAGCAGGTTTTCAGACCATGAATTAATTGCTATTGTTGCATCTGGGTTTGTTGTCTCAGCTGCTGGCTGATCAATGGTTAAAGCCATCTAAGGTTCATTGTTGCTGAGCTTATTAGAGCTTGCTCCCACCATTCACCCCTCCTGTGCTTGTAAATTATTGGGTTAAAGGCAGGTCATGAACACATCCCCACTTTTTGCCAAATGCTTAATTAACAAATAGTATACTAGAAAATATCCTTTTTTTAATATGACTGCATTTTGAATAATCAAAAGAAACAGATGTGTCTGCTTTACAATGTTTCCCATGTTCTTAGGAAATTAATTAATTAAATAAATAAATAGATAGATAAATAAATAAATAAATAAATAAATAAACTTCTGGCAATAAAGACCTGAGCAGGTGCTGCCCAGTGTGGACTTTCATGGCCATCCTTAGTGTCCATGTGGGTTTATGCTTTGAGCTCTGGTGGTGTTGGAGCTCCTCCTACACAAACTGTTATAATATGGCTTTAACTGCCTCTCCATATGGGGTAGGTACATGGGAGAAATCCACTTAGTAAGAAGGAGAGGGAGAGACTAAGCTTTTCCCTATATCCAGCTGACCCATTCACGCTCGCCTCTGTACACTCCAATGGCTGCTTTGCAGGGCCATTGGAAGAGAAAAATGAAAAAGTGTTTGTGCACAGCATGCTGCCTGGTTTTAAAAACCCCTGTTCTGCAGTATAAAACTAGTAAGTACAGACTAAATGCAAGGGAGGAAGATAAATGAAGGAGTTGCCCTTGGTCAAAGAGGCTTTGGGTGAGGTCACCTTTACCGTCATCCTGTCACTCTCTCTGGGGATTATGCCAACGGCTGTGTTTGGTTACCTGAATGGCTACTCAGAAGTCCATCCATTTTGTCTTTAAATCAAACTTATTCAGAATGTTTTTTTTTGGAAAACAAAGATCACCACTTCCATCATACTGATGCATAACTATGTTCTCTTAAAATTCAAAGTATTAGCAGTCCTGTCTGAGACGGCCTGCAGACCAGTGCACTAAAGACTCTAAAGGGAAAAACAAGTGGGAACAAAAAGGAGGGAAAAGAGTGCAGCAGGCAGCAGCTGGGATGTACAGGCTTTTCCACGCTCAACACAACAACAGCGTTGTTATCTGTGACCTTCCTAATGCCTTTGCCCCTCCCACTGTCATGTATATATAGAATCTTTATAGAGAGGCCTCCACAAAGAGCATTTCTTTAAAACATGCTAATCATCTTGTACTGTGAGTAAGCCGTATGAGGTCCAACTGACCCAAGACAGGTTTGAACGTTGCTTCTCAGGTTAGCTTTGGCAGAACTTCCACACTGATGCAATGCGGAAGCTTTTTGTTTTAAATCTTTCACCAACAAAACCTGAATTTCGCTCTACGCAGTGCCTCCATTTTTTTATTTTAGCAGCCTTAAAAGTATATTGTGCTTTCAACCACATGATGGTGTCAGTTCTCAGCAAATCTAAATCCTGTCAGAATCAGGGGCTTTTGGAGAAAGCTATTATTAATAAATATGAATTAGCGTGGGCATACTATTCTGTCCCAGCTAAATTTCAAATACTGCAATTAAGAATTGCTCAATTACAAGCTAAAATTGTCTCAAGTGAACATCCATCCCTTTTCTACAATCCCTATTACTAAACTGACCGGTCATAGTTATCTAAAATATGTTTAAACTATAATAAATATAAAACAAATTCCCCCTAAAAAGATGAATCTGTGAGAAATGTAAATACAAAGAACATAACCCGAAAGCAATTATCTTATTTAGTTTTAATTTTTATTGTTTTATTGAGTTTTCATTGTTCAGGGTTGTAGTCGAACTGGAGCTCATTGAACTGAGGAAGTATCCCAGACTCTGAGAAACACTTAGAGCTATCAGGCACTATTTTATCGACCAAATCAGTGGACGGGTGCAGAAATATTGATATAAAGTCAAAGTGAGAGCAGACTTTTAAGCTATAGCTAAAACATTGTTAATTTGGCACAGACACTGAATAGAAAACAATTCAGCCTGTTAGCAATTTGCTTTTTATTGTGACCTGTTTGGTTTCTCTGTTCCTACATCCGATAAGTTGCACCATGTTTAAAGCGATACAAAGACACCATGTCAATCGCTCTAAACTTGTTTGATTTATACCTCACAAGGGAATCCATCAGTTATCACCAGATAACTTGAACCCAGTAAAATAAAATTGATCTGGTCCACAGATAGCCTTGCATTAAACACGGGCCTAATTTTATTTGGGAAGTCACCTATCCATCTACAGCTCCTCAGAAAACCCCAAAACATGCATCTACTGCATCTGCACATCAGAACTCCACTACATGGAGAAGAAGGTTTACTAAAGACAAAATCCACATTATCTGACAGTTTCCCGTCCAACTCAATAAAGTCAGATTAATTAAAAGTTCAAATTCTGTTTGGAAATCAAAGACACTTCTCAGGCCATTTTGTAGAGGGTGAGTGGCAATGTGATTGTGTGCAGGCAGCTGACTGCATGAGCACGCAAAGAGAGGACGGGCTGATAACAATCGTGCATCAGAAATATTACTTCACCTTGAAATTCAAATCATTCTTCTTTGGTGTACGTGACCTGTGTTTTGCCTTAAATTGGTGAAGTGCTATAATGTTTTCTCATCAAAATTAAAGTATATGGACTCCAAGTAATGAACATGTTGCACGGTTAATACATTGTTTATTGTTACCATGCTTTTAAAATCCACTTTTGATCACCAGGAAATGTCATCTAGTTTTCTTTCTTGCTCTTATCAAAAGTATACAGATAATAACATACTTGTTTTCTAAATTCCAACTTTAAAAAGGAGTATTGGTTAAAAAAAATCTAAATATATAATTATTAGTCTTCATGGGGCCCTGAGAACAGTCAGATTTTTGGGGAACTCGTTTTTCTGCCCATAATGCTGATTATTGATCTGCATTGACATGCATTCAATAAACTCGTTTTGTGTCATATCTGTCATATTTGTAACACTGAACACATTTTGTTGGGGTCAGACTGTGGAGAAACATGGAAGGAGACAATTGCACAAAAAGGAAACTTTAAATTATTATTTGTAGCACAAGCATTAAGTGTAAACCTGTCGTTTCGTTAATGATATTTTAAAAAGGCTATTACTCTATCCAAAAATATTATCAAGAAATTCGAAGATTTAGGATACTTCCAAAAGAAAGTACAAATCATTGGGTCTACAGCAACCGTCTGTTAACAGAAAAGTCTTTTTACTTAATATACCTTTGACAACATGAATTATCAATGACATTTACAAAAACAAAAATAATTGTAATAAAATAATGTTTTGTCTTTGCTCCAGGGGCTCCATCGCAGTCACGGGGCCTAAACTGCAACTTAGTTGGCCCACTCCTCGAAATAAATGCAAATATAAAATATTTTGTTGGTGTTTTGCAGGTTGTGTTTCTGAACCTCTCAAAATGTCTCATCATTGGGGAAAAACAGTACAGTATTTGCTATTTGACTTAAATATATTCATATGGAGGTGACATGAGTGTTAATCTCGATGGATACATTGTAATAATACAAGCTTTTAGGGTTAAAATTAAATAAATTATCTTAATATTGTTTTGTTTCCGGTATGAAATAAAGAATGGCTGACGTCTCCAGGTGGTTGAGGTTTACAAAAAAAACGAGAAAAAAACGTAATCACTCAAGGGAAAACAAGAATGTCATTGCAGTGCGCCATTTTAAATGACTTCAGCGCAAAGCCAGCGCACTTGTTTCCACTGAAGTAATGTTTGGCCTGCACGCACACAATGCAGTCAGTGGTTAGTGAGGACGTTGCACAAGTACACACGCACACACTCAAGGAACTGTACCAGCACGCGCCCTGTCGCCATTTTCAACTAAATGGCTTGCCCAAGGCAAACTCTGTCAAGAGAGCACACACCCCTTTCGTAGTTGTCTGCCCCTGTACACGAGACATCTGTTTTAAAGACTGCATAATGGTTTCCCCGCGCTTTTGTGTTGGTTTCAAAATCATGCATAAAGAATATTATAAACATATAGCGTCTGGCTCTTGGTGAAGAGGCATTTCTCGTCGGAGTGGAATGAGGCTTTAATAATTTTTGCCTCGTTAAACCAGATGGCTGCACACAGAGACAAATAGCTCGCCATGTTTGTTGACTGGCATGTGACGTATCCACACAGGTATGAGCACAGATTTGAAAATGTGTCGCTGCTCAACGCGCTGTCCAATCAGCGTGCAGAGAAGGTGGGGTTTAGTGCCGTCAATCAAGCAGGAAGCATAAGCGTTTGAATAGGGAGGGAGGGGGAGAATCCAATCCGGTTTGAGCTAGTTTTTCTTCCAATGGAACATTAACGTCTCGCCGCGCTGTATTAGACTGTATTGGCACAGCTTTACCCCGAATATACCACTGTATTTCTTCCTGTATTGAGAATAATTTGACTCTTTTTTTCCTTTTTTAATTTAAAAAAAAAACACCCCTCACAAACCAACCATGCCTAAAAGGAGCAAAGTGAGTAGTCTGACATCTTTCATGCATTCAGTAATACGGTTTTTATAACACACAACTGCAATTGTAAATTGAGCTTGTTACAGTGTCCGTACAGAGTTGTTAAAATGTTGCTACATATTTCCGCTTTGTGCACGAAGTGAATGTCAACAAAGCTGTTCCTCGCAGCCAGGAGTTTAGTTTGAATGTCTGTGCGGCTGTTTGTTGGTGTTCCTCCTTCGTGCTGTGATTATCTTTGTGCGAAGTGGTTTTCAGTATGGCAAGGGCTTTTCACCTTCTAAGGACCACCGAAGTGATAGCGCACAACTGTTGTTGTACTGTAATACGTTCGCTTGTGGTGTCGAACAAAGCGGGCTCCGTCTTTAGCGTTGCTGGATAGCTTTTTTTCTCAGAGAAAGTTGGCGGCATATCGATTGTTTTCTGTGTGGTTCGTCACGCTGGATGCCGAAGTTTCTCCGAGCCGAGGCGACACGTACAAACACGGCGTAAAGGCATTTGTGTGGAGGGGGGTTGGTCGATAGCTGCGGTGGTGATTTTAAACACGGATCTAAATCTGGTTTGCATGTTTGTCCTCTGCTAAAACACTTTAAAATGTTTTTTTTTTAATGCATCATTTTTTTCAAAAGCGTCTTTTTTTAGGCAGTACGCTCGCGCTTGTGACCGTTGACTCATGGCCGCTCTCGTTTTAGCGGTTGTAACGTTTTTCTTGGAAGGCGTCCGTCGTGTAAACTCAGCCGCTCTTGCTCGCGTCGACGGCTCAGGCCAGTTGTAGGTTATGCAATGGCGAACCTCCGTCAGCACGGCTCTGCTCCTGTTGCTGGGGCTTTTCTGGTATATTCTGCTACTACACCGACAGAGAGCATCTCAGAGTGACTCTTTTTCAAATTCATGGCGGGAACACTGTTTGTGTAGCTGAGTGTTTTTTTTTCCCCCCTCTGGACATTGGCATTCCCATCTATTACCAATGAATGGATGTGCTGGGAGGCGGAGTTCGCCCCCCTCCCCTCCAGAGTTTTACTGTAGGCATATCAAGAGCCTCCATGTGACGACATTATGTTAATATTTCCCTCGTCAATTAACTTCCCTGTGCGCTGTGTTTAGCAACACCTCTGGATCATTTTAATATCCCTAAACCCTAGTGAATGAATGCTTCAAGGTATGTCTAGTGTACTGGAGAGCAAAAGTTGGGGTAAATGCCAAATAAAGTGCAGAGATTTAGTTTTTAGATACTCTTAAACTTTAATTTGTATCTGTTAGCTTTAAGTGTAAGTAGTCTGATCAAATGTGTCTTTTAAATGGCCTGGTCTAATTAAATTTGGTGTCTAATCACAGACTGATATCCAGCATGGAAACGCCCACTTTTAGTTACATAATTTATACTATAGACCCCTGACCCACTTGAACCTGCAATTACCCACAACAGGCAGAGCATGATGCAGCTTCCTTAATATTTTTCTGTTTTCCCCAATTCTTCTTCTTTACAGGCTACTGCGGGAAGTGAGTCAGCGGTAAGGATCAATCATAACTACTTTTAATAGGCATATCTATATATGAAAAAGATAAAACAGTTAGTCCACACGCCCACCAGGGGTCAGTAATTGCTCATTTGCAAAGATTGAGCGTTAAAGTATTTACCCTGCTTGTTCTCTCTGCAGCCCAAGAGGAGATCTCTCAGGTTGAAAGATGTAAGTACAAAAAAAATAACTTGTTGTCTTCTCCCAACATTCCTGGTGCTCACGTTGGTAATTTGCTTCCGCACAGAGACCTGCTGCTGCAAAAGCAGAGCCCAAACCCAAGCCAAAGGTAAGACTTTCTTTTGACGTCTCCTGGTTGAAGTCAGCTATCTGAACTGTGGCTGAAGGAAGTCCAATCTGCTCGCAGAAGGCACCTGCTAAGCCTAAGAAAGCTAAGGAGGTGGAGAAGGCAAAGCCCGAGGAGAAAGCACCAGAGGCCCCCGCTGAGAACGGCGAAGCCAAAGCTGAGGACGAGGTAACGATCCTAGTGTTGAGAAAAAGCATGCGGCGTGAACCAGGCCAGGTCTTGTAACCTTTGCATTGTGTCCCGCAGGCACCCGCTACAGACGCAGCCGATCAGAAAGACGAGGCGGCGGAATAACACCACTCCTGCCCTGACTCTTACCAGTGCTCCCTGTACCTCTTTTCTTGTACAATTCAGGGGAATATTTTTATCGACTATTTTCTAAATACAGGTTTTTTAGTAGTTTGATTGTAGAGAACACTTTTTTTTAATGAAAGAAAAAAGTACATTTGGACATGGGGAAATTCATCAGATCAAGTTTTGCATCATCATAAAATTTGCAGTCAACGTCGTTACTGTCAGTGGATTTTGTTTTAAGTTTTAAATGTGAAGGAAGGGAGGGCGCGGGATGGGTTTGCACGTCAAACGTGGAAGCTTGACGTTCTAAGGGGAGCAGGGGCAACAACCGGAGGGGTTACCTGCGTGGAATACATTCCATAAGCTTTTATAAGGGACAGTGTGTGTAGTCTTTGCTTGGGTGGGGGTGGAAAACGTCACAGTGCAACTCATTGTTTTCTTGTTTATATTGAAGAACAGTGTTTTAGAATGTTTGTAAGCTTTTTTTCCTATTTGTTAACTCTTGTACTCATGCAGTTTTCTTAACAAATGTCATCAATAAATCTAAAATCCCTACTACTGGATCTCTCAAATTCAGAACTGTGCATTGCATGTGTTGGTTGTGTCTGTTGTGTGATAGCATCGCAATAAATTTGTATAGCTGCTGTGAAAAGACTTTTCAATCTTTCTATTTGCAGTGTGTAACGGTACTTTCTAAGGATGGACAAAATGGAATCCGTTTTCTTAGTCGAGCTGAAGAAGTTTTAAATCAAACCGCAGAGGCCGGCCTCCTCAGAGCCGGCAGACTTTACACAGTTCATTTAACCTTCAGCTGCACACCAGCTGTGGCAATATCATGTGGGTTTTAGACATCTGTATCAAGTACAAGTGCCATTCTCCTTTTTGTTCATAGATGTACCTGTGTAATGATTGTTAACGAACCAATAAAACCCGGTTGGTAGTTGTTATGCTGTTTCATTCTGCACAGTCGGTTAATCTAATATGAACCTGAACAAAAAGTGAGTGGCCTGAAACATCTGACACTTTGCAAAGTTGGAGAAAAAGACTACAGCAGCATTTACTTGTTAAAAGAAATTAAAAATAAGTGTTTAGTGAAACCGCTGAAGCAAAATGCTCTTTAAATGGTTTGTGGATAAAAAAAAAGAATAAAACTGAATGTAATCCTGAAACTTGTGCATTCCTTTGTGGACCTGGTCTTATAAAATGGTTACACACACTGAAGCAGTTTCAGCACCATGGATAGCGCCACATTCTCCCTCTGAGCTCTGTTATTTCCTGCACTTCTGTCATACCTTTCCCTCTCCGGCATGAGTTACTTTAAGCTTCTCCTCGTTCCTTTATGTTCAGCTCCAAGCTGAAAGCTGCAAGACTGTGCTAAGCTTTTAAAGTGGTATGGAGCAACAGTTCTCCAGACTTCTGAGAGCCATCACCAGTCTCTACTCCAAATAATCACATGACATAAAACCAGAATTAGTCAAATATAAATGTTTCATTTATTGGATCTTATTCAATTTTTCAAATCCACTGTACAATTCCAGTAGGACAACCATAACCTATTCCTGACATCTACAGTGTTGTGAAGTTGTTATAATCGACAAATCAAGTTTTTCAAATAGGTTTAATAAGTGACTCGGAGTTTGACCTGCTGTAAACATCTATGATGGCGACGTTTCTGCTGTCGTTTAAAAAAGTCAGTAACAAAGCAAAGAAAAATCAGCTTTGTCTCTGAAGATTGTGTACAAAAATGGAAAAGGATCTGCAAGCTCATCATATCATAAAAATGAACCATGACACGAGTCCTTATACAGGCATTCCAGTGACATTCCTTAATTTTTATTTGTATAATGACCTCCACTGAAGGCAGAATCAGCAACAGATGCAGTTAATCAGACAACAACTTTGCATTTCTGTGTTTTTTACTCTCCAGAAAAACACTGAAAGGTCTCCAGATGAGAACGGCATCTAGAATGAAGCGACTTTGTGATGTTTGTGCTGTTGAGGATTAAATCTACACATTCACGGCTACCTTTGTGTGAACAGGAAGTGAGTTAGTTACAGCCGCCCTGAGGACCATCGAACGAGTTCATGGCAGAAAATGTGTCAGGATTTGCCTCTTTTAGAGATGTTTTCTTTAATAGAACTTAAGTCCAGCCGGTGTGCCGTGTGGTCCCCAACAGGGACGAGAGCATTAGTCCGTTTTCTCAGCGATCCGTCCCATTTTGGTGCGCATGTTGCGCAGGAGGAAGAAGACGATGGTGGCGACGCCCATCACCACCTCAGCCACCCAGAAGGCCGTGTCCCAGCTGTGCTGTTTGGCGATGGTGCTGAAGGGAAGGCCTGCCATGAAAGCCCCCACTGCGGCACACAGAGAGCTCGTTTAGTCAGGGCCCAGCACCGGGGCGGGGGGGGGGGTCGCTCGGGCCACCAGGGCCTGGAAGCTTACCGTTTGCCATCAGAGCCACCACGGCGTGAGACGTCCCGCAGAAATTGGAGGGAGCGCTTTCGCTCGCTATCACCCCAAACAAGGCAATCGGTCCATAGGAGGAGAATCCAAACACGGCGCCGAGGAGGAGGATCCAAATCTGTCGGAGACAACAAGAAAACATGGCAGCAAAGCCCCCGAGGAGCATTTAACCGCTGAAGGCGCTGCTTATCTTACCTCTTTCTCAGACACACCCAGAAGGACAGACACAGGGTGAAGGACCTGAACCCAAAGAGGAGCCTCCTACGGAAAGAGAAGAGCTTTTTTTACTCGTTTTTTTTTTCACAGGCTACATTTTTCCCCCCACGAAAAGAGGAAGGGGATTGGAGCTACCTGTGGGACCTCTGGCGTGATGGTCACCCTGAAGAGGTACATGGACACGTACATGCCGGCCATCATCACAATGAGCAGGGCGTGGCGAGGGTTGCCATGAGTGCCCAAACCTTTCTGAAGAAAAAGCAAACGGAGGCTTTTTCAAACCCTGAAACTGAAGAGAACCCTCCCCCCCCCCCTCCCAGCCATGCCATTTACTCACCCGAGCCACGGCTCTGTCCGAGATTAAACCTGAAGCCAGGCTCCCCACAAAGCCCCCCACCTCCAGGGCGCTCATGTAGGTGCTGCCTGTTGGGGAGACAGCAGCTGTCAGCACCAGGGAGCTCACACCACCTCCGGGAGGCGAGAGGCTCATTCAGAGTGTACCCATAAGGGCCGTTTGGCCTTTCTCCTGCATGAGGAACAGCTGTCCCCAGTCGGTGGCAGCTGTCTTCACCCCAAACACCACCAAGTAGCCCAGGGACAGCACCCACAGGAAGGGGGAGAGGAGGAACTCTCTGAGCGTGCTCTCGCCGTTTCCTGGTCAGCACAGACGGACAGCGTCAATGGGGCACGCCTCAGAAAACCACCACCGTCACATCAGCTGAAGGGAACTCTCCGTTCCTTATTTTTTTGCTCACCTCCCTTCGCCCCCTTCTTGGCTGCCACCCCCACGCTGGGCAGCCCGACGTCCGTGGGCTCGTTCTTCACAAAGACCAGGCAGACGAAGGAGAAGGAGGCACAGACGAGGCCCGACGCGGTGAGGATGAGCCTCCAGTGGTAGTGCTGCAGCAGCAGCGTGACCAGGAGGGGCCCCAGGCTGCCGGCCAGGTTCATGCTGCAGGACATCACTGACCACCAGGTGCCGAACTGGGAGGGCTCGTACCACTGACGGGAGACACGCACGGGAGGGAACAACCGTCAGCCTTTTTAAGAAAAATACCTACAAAGTGGTTGTGACTACGCAAAGGCGACTTCAAGTGCGAATCTGGATTTTCCGTTTCACGAAAGAAACGGAAAAACCACAATCCAACCGATCAATGTTCTCAGAAAGTCAAAGCAGTTGTTAGAATTTATTTCAGCGCTTTCGATACTGCAAGTTTCCACAGGCCAAACAGAGCTTTTCCTCAAACCTCAGGTCTGCTGTCGTTAACCACAAGAGTCCACAGCTGTCTTACATAACAGGCCAAAAGCTGTTTTATGAGCAGAAATTGAATTAACTAAAATCACTGGACAACTAAAACTATTCGAAAAATTACTGATGTATTGCCAATTATTCTAACCCTTAAAAATCGAGACGGCACATTTAAAGGGCTGATTCTGATACCAGCAGAGCAGTCTACCAAGCATCTGTGGCTACATGTTTCACCAAAATGGCAAACTTATTTCCAATAAATTCTTAAATGGCCCAACTGCAAAAATAAGATTTTGCTCAAAAATGCTTTTAGAAAAAAAAAAAACAGACAAAAAGATCCATTTAAGTACATCAGAAAATGTCTCATTTCAAATCTCATCAGGTCCAAAAGACAGGCCTCATGGTGACCATGTGCTGTTTTAAGTGAGGATTTCTCTCCACTGGGATGTCTCTAACTAAGATGCTCAGCAGTGAAAGCCAAGGCTCTCTCGCCTTGAACATAACGTGCATTGATGCAGATGATGTTTCAGGTTCTGGATGCCAGGACAATGCACCCTGGAAAGACCTGCACCTCCTTCATGAAACTGGACACCGAGGGTTGAACTGAAATTGTCAGCCTAAGCCCATAATCCTGCCTCACAGAATAGGACCCTAAATTGCAGGACAGATAAGCGTCCAGCATTTTCCCGTCTTCCTCCCTAACACCGGACACTGGTTTGGTATAAACAAAACAAATAAATAAAAGAAAGCCTCCATTTTAAGGAAGGTCTCTCATCTTTCTTCAGACCTGATAGTCGGCAGCTTTCTGCCTGTGCAGCAGTTTCATTTGAATTTTGTCCTGGAGAAATGAGGTGTGAACTACATGCCCTGCGAAGGCAACACAGGCCGGCATAGAAGCCCTCACACAGCATTCCCGACAGAGTCGCCGGTAACTTGAGAATCCACCGGCGCAAAATATAAGGCAACGCCGGCCCAATTTAACCCGACTCTGAGCCAAAGGTTGAGGTAGAAAGTTCAGCTGTGCGGCAGATTTAGAGCCTTTCAAAATATTGACTCTCAGCAGAGAGCAAATCTATGTTTTTTTCAGCTGCTTTTCTTTTTTGGGATGGATCTACTAATTAACAAAAAACAAAAAGACCTATAAATACACCATGCTGCAATCTGACTCTACCACCCTCTGATTAAATGTCAACGCCCACTGACTTCCAGCACTTTAAAACACTGTCACTTTCAAAGTGGCTTCCCCAAAGCCTCCAGTAGGTTTTAATGGCAAAAGGCGCCAGTTTGCCTGAAGACAGACTTCGAAAGCTCTTATTATTCTGCTGAGCGATAATGTACGAGTATACTTGAAGCAAATCCTAGCTCTATTTATAGAAGGGACCTTAAGAGATTATTAAGTAATCCTTTAATTTCTGTAACTACTACCACTGACGGCTTTCCTACTCCTGCCCTGGACCATCGACACCTGGTACAGCTGGCTGAGTTCTCCTCCAACCAGACGGAGCAGCCAGCACCGCCCCAGAGCCAGGAATAAGATCCTTTTCTTCTAGAGTAAAGGCAGCACACGCACACAGCACGGCTGAGAATAACCACCAGCTGCCCGCGTGCTGACAACGGCACGATGAGCCCGGCCGGCCGGGCTGGGCCACAGGAGGCGTGGCGCCTACCTTGCGTAGCACCTTCCCGCACGGGGGCCAGCCGCAGCCCTGTCCCAGGCCGTTGAGGAACCAGAGGAGGGCGAAGAGGGGCACGGTGGAGGACCAGGAGAAGGCCACGTTGATGGCCCCCACCACGAAGAGGCCGATGGAGAAAAGCCAGCGCGCGCTGATCTGGTCCGACAGCACGCCGCTGATGAACTTGCTGATGGCGTACGCCATGGTTTGACTGCTGGTGATCAGACCTGCAGACACACAACAGCAACAGGGCAACAACAACCACACATCAGAGGGGCCGGAGAGCAAGAATATCTCCCCACAACTGAGAGCTGATACACAGGGAGATGGGCATCGTCTCTGAGATTTGACTCACAAACTGAGAGACCAGTTGAATAATTTTTAAGTTTGTGCCCTTTGGTTGCCATTATGGACAGCGGAGATACAGAGGAGGGTAACACCATGCAGCTCAGGGCCACAGTTCTGGCAACATTTAACCCAATATTCTCACATTTTGTACATTTGCTTGGTCCTATGAGGACAAACCCGCCACACTTTGAGCACTACAAGCCCTAAATTTGTATTTTTCAAGCACAAAGTGTTTTTTTTATTATGTTATGTGCTAATACGCTAATTTTGCAACAGTAAAATCATAAATGTGAGAATAATGGATAAGTAAATGTTGCCAATATATTGTCTGCATCATTAATATCCGCGACCTGGAACCAGTTGAAGGGGTGAAATGGACAACTCTGAAATGGCATTAAAAGCATTTGAAGTCAAAGTTTACTCTCACCCAGGTCATCTTTGTCCAGTTTTATCTCCTCCATCACAGAGGGCATGACAAAGGAGAAGGTCTTTCTGTTAAAGAAATACAGGGAGTAGCCGGTGAACATGCACAAGAAGATGACCACCCGATAGTAGCCGTAGCCGGTGGCCCCCATGGCTGCGGTGGACCAAACAGAAAGCCAAATGTTCAGTCTTCTCTTCAGCGGGGTCTTCTACTTGATCCCTTTTGTCTCCGGGTCACAGCCAGCAAAAGGCGATGCAAAGCCGGCTGTCGCATGGGCAAACGGTGAGAGGCTCTCCACGAGATGCACGGCCTCCTGGCTGGTGGCTCCGTTTATCTGAGGGCAGAGAGGGGAAACCTCACACCAGCCTGAAAAGGAGAGCATACCACACACTACTTCAGAGGGAATCGCCCACATCCGACCCTTCTGCAGCTGCTGGTATTTTGCAATTCTTGGGCTGATAAAGTGGCTTTTTTTTTAATTAAATCCTGAACAATTCAATGAGATTATGCAGGAAAGGAATGTTGGATTTAACACAGGGAATAGACCTCATTCAGAGGGCCGCTCTTGGACGTGGTTGTGATACTGTGACACCCTCTGACTGATGCAGAGACCTGCTTTTAGACTTTCAGAGAATATCTGACATTTTAAAGAGCTTTGGGCATCTGGTTAGAGTAGAGGGGAGGGGGGGGGGTCCCATACAGGGACGCTGGAAATATCAGATGTCAGGAAGCCTAAACCTGATAGCTGATACAGCGGCTTGATCGTGGCCATAAATATATACAGAGGGAAGAGAGGGAACACAAACGCTAAATGGCCGGTTGGTTTCACTTCCAGCTGGGTTCATGTCACTGTTGACGTGGTCGCTTTCGCGTTTAAACTAACTCAGCCCTGTGGCGAAAATACGGCCAAACACCGCACAGCAAAGTCTTAAATGGATTCATTAAACAAAAACTACAACAACAAACACAGCCCGGGGATGCTACTAAACCCCGTCCTCGTAGCAGACTGGTTCGGCTGCGTATTTCCGGTTCTGCTCTTCCTTGGGCCTCGGTTTGAACAGACCTCCGCCGGCTGGTCGTTGAACGCGAGGCGGCAGCGCGCCACGAAACGCCGGCGAAGCCTCTTACCTTCCCCTGGCGTCCCGGGCGATGATCCCATCTATCCTTCAAGGACGGCGCGCGGGCACGAACCAGCAGCTTGGCGAGCGCGTCCGCGAGACCGCGAGGCACGTGGCAATTAACGCCGACGCTTCAGTCCGGCCCCAAAACAACCATAAACGGGACGGTAATGTCGTTAAGAAGGGAGCAGAGAACACAGGAACGGAACCCCCCCCCCCAAAAAAGGAGCTCATTTCTACCAGCTGGATGTTTTAAATGCAGCTATTGTAAAATGTCCATTTTTAGCCGAGTCTGCTCAATGCTGCCCTCCACTGTCGCTCACGACTCTTCAGCCTATATACGGCTTTCTGAAATGTTAGGCATCTGAGACCTTTTGCATCATTTAATGGTAAAAACTTTGCTCAAACATACCTGATAACAGCAGGGAGAAGACTACACGACAATAATTGGGACTTATTGCACTGTAATAAATTATGAATAAATGATGTCTGTTTTTTCCCATAATTTGTTAAATGGCCAACTAAAGACTTGAAAGAAATAAAGTATAATTGTATGTTTTCAGTTTTTTCTTGGATCAGGCTTTAAAGGGTTAAGCAACAGTCATTTTATTGCCTTAAAAAGTATGGCCTGTAAAATAAATTAAGAAACCTCCTAAAAGGGATAGCTCTATAATTAGACACCTGCTTAAAAATTGATTATGAATTTCTGTATGGGTGCAACACCACAGTTATAGAAGATATAGTATGTTTACAGGGCTTTTCTAGCACTAAATTCTGTCCATTTGTACAGAATTCATCTTTATATCTGTCTATAATGCACTGGTATATTGACCATCAGCACATGAATAAACACATCTTCATATGAAACCTGTATATAACCACAATGTATACTGATATAAATCAATTCCCACTTATCTATATTGTCTTTTTCTGCACTGCACAGATTGGGTTCATTGCTGATTTTTTTTCTCCTTGTTGCACTTTGATTACTGGCTGCTGGTTCTTGATTGCTGGTTTGGAATGAGCGTGTAAAAAAAAAAAAAGCATACATGTGTTCAAAAGCAGATAACTATACAGGATATAGGATCCGGTTTTCTGCTTTTGCATGCATTCTGGTTAATGGTAGAGTTTCACTGCTTGTTTGTGCAACACGCCCTTCCTGCCCACAGATGGAGCTGAAGTGATGTACGCAATGCTGCTAAAGTTTCAGTGTTAGAACATATTTCTAATGCGTTGTTAAATGGTTTGGAGCCAAAATTGGATCTATCTATCCATCCATTGTCATTTGTGGGAGGAAGTTGAAGTATCCAGAGAGAACCCAAACATACACTCAAACTCCTCAATGAAAGGTCCCCGGTCCCCCAGGGATTTAAACCAGGAACCCTATTACTGTGAGGTGACAGTGCACCACACAATTGTGCGGCCCAAAATGGATCTGTGCAATGCTGACTAATCCTCCTTGACTTTGGCTAGTTTAGCCAAAGGGCATTACTTTGCTTTCAGATAACACATCCAGTCCTCCACGTGTTGCAGCATGATTCACATCTCAAGGAACAATAAGGATCGGGGGACAAGAAGTCAAGCATCATCCTGACCTTGGTGATCAGGGTTAAACCTGAGGTCAACTCACTAACCTCATATCCCTCCCTGGTCCCCTGTCCTTTAGGAAAATATGTTTTTGTCTGTTATTTTTTACACTGGGATGGTGTTCCTACTGCTTCTGATCTAAGAGAGATTCTGTACAAACGTCATGTCTTTTTTGCCACCCATTTAATCTTTCAGCAGAATCATAAATGAGCAACAAATAGAAGAGGACCAATCCATCAGCAACCAGATGAGCCACAAAGCATGAAGTGCACAGCCTCATCTTGTTCACCGACACTTTCAACTGCAATTATGGTTCCACAGCAGGGGAGACAGGCCACAAGGCAGGGATTAGCTTCACATCTCAATTAATGCATCAAACCCAGCGCCTACTGCATGAAGCTCGGAGTGATCACTTACTGCTCAGTGTCTTCCCTGAATATTTTAGTGATATATGCTGCCTCCTGTGGTCACAGGTACTTTCGTTCATCCAACGTAATGTGTGTGCAATACAAAGACAAGAAAAAAAATCTTTGGGAAAAGGGATGTGGAGTTTAAGTGGGGGTACACATATATTACACACTGTTTGTGTTGGTTTTGAAAATGAAATTATTTATAAGAAGCATCTTTTTCTCTCATTATTCACAAATTAACATCTTATTCTGCATCATCATCTTAGAATTCCACATAAAATGTATCAGAAAAAGACTCCAGTTTACAGCCTGAGGCTACTGGGCATACACCGATAATAGGTGGTGAGAAAGATGATTACAGGTTCAAAGGCAAAAGAAAAAAAAGCAGGTAAAGAAGGAAATTTAATAAAAATGTAAATTTTTCTCAGCGGTGACAAGAACAATTTGTGGATCTGCAGAGCATGCTCAGAGCTGGTAGAAACTGCTTACGGAACAGAGGCCATCCCTGAGCTTTCACACCCAGCTGCTGAAATATGGGACAGATGGTCACATCGGTTCGGTCCCACATGGATTACTGTAAGACGGAGACACTGTGAGTAAACTGGGGTTAAAGATGCAAGTCTTGATGAAACCCGGGTCTGATTTTGCTGTAGAGATCAAGTATCTTTTTTCTTGCTCCACCACCACAAAATTGTTGTGTCCAAAAAAACTCATGATAAATAATACATTTTAGCACTGTGGACTGGGAGAGACTCATCATACTGCTGCAGGATATAGAAAAAAACACAGTTCATCCTAAGACCCATATGGGCACCTTTTACACAGCACAGACAAAATACAGTTCATTATCATCCCTCATACGTCTAGGTAGGGTGAGGCGCTTGATCGGTGGTGATGTGCAACAGGATACGCACAGAATTCAAGTTACTGTGTGCACAGAGAATACTATATTGTGTCATTTGGTAGAGTAGGAGAATCCTCATAAACCTAAATAAACAAGGATGTTTGTGGTGTGAAAAGGCGGACGTACAGAGTTTACAGTGCACACACGAGGGTGAGAGTCATATTCTCACAAACTGGACCTGTCACATTCCAGTGGCCCTAAACAGTGTTTCCAAGCTTTTGGACAAAAGCAAAAAGTAACTTCTGTCTGAAAGATATATGGTTTTCTTTACAATAAGCTGGTTGCAAAACACTAATGCAAATGTTAGCATGCTTACACATTTAGCTATCTTGCCACCTTAGATAAGTGACAATTGTGCTTCATTTAATATCCAAACAAAATGTTGATTATTGTAAGCTTTTTTTTTAAATATAGAAAACATAAAGAATTCACAGGTGAAGCATTAATGTTGTTCAACCCAGAATCAGTTCATGACAATAATGTTATGAGCGCTTGGGTCGCAGGTATTTTAAAACCCCTCACAGGTTTTGTGTCTCTGACAGCTTTACAACTCTGTGGTTTCTAAGTGGTATTTTTCGGAGGCAATTTCACACTTTTTGTGGTTTTTATGCCTCCTATTGTTGCTATTTTATGATCTTATGGAGCAGACATGTTAACAGTCACATCAAAACAGATGCGTGGTTCTGGTTCCATATATCCTGTCATTTTCAGAGAGGGCCCATTCAGTAATGTATGCAGGCAGACGCAGCGAAACGTTATTTGTCGCCAATTGCTTTGTGCGTTCCTCATAAATCGAGCAACAAAAACACACCTGCTGAATTTGTCGTAACAAGGCAGGAGTTGTAAGGAGACTGTTTGTGCCTAATGTCTGGTAAAGGATGCTTGTAAAATGAGGCCGAGCTGGTGATGTGGAGACTTTTGGCCTTGTTTGTTTCATGTTGACCATGTCAGGGCTGCAGTAAGGAAAGTTAATTGCTATACCACAAGCGATTGTAGCAAGAATACTATAGGCTGAATCATGCAAAATGGCGAGCTCAATGGATGTTATTCAAATGAAAATTACAGTGCAAGCTGTGTGGTTCAACAGCATCAGCAGGTCCCAGCAGCCCAATGTCAGAGTGCCAGGGGTGTGCTGGAGCAAAACACGGGACATAAACATGTGCTCCAGCAGAAAGTGGTAGGAGGAAAATGTCAGGTTGATTTCTGGACCTGTTTACACCACTGATAGCAGAGCCATTTCCAGAGCAGCAGGGCATGCTCGCCCTGACAAAAATAATCTGCCTCTCAATAGCTGAGGCAAATTTCCGAGGAGCCTCTGTGGAAAGAAAGTACGCTCTATTCAATTCTAAGGTTTTATGTACCATCTGGTTCAAACTAGGTTAAGACAAGCAAAATACAACCTCAAATTAACAAAGATGCACGAAATGTGACACAGTGTCAACCTTTATTAAACTAAAGTAAGGCCAAAAGGTAAGAGAACATCCAACGATTCAACAGTTTACTGAACCTCCCTTAGTGGCTGTAAATTGAAGTAATTGAGGGATTTTTGCCCACAATTCAACATGACCCTGAAGTTTGCAGCTTTCTGCACAGCTTTCTGAAGGTCCCACCGCCGCATTCATCAGGGTGAGGCCTGGACTCTGATGAACCAATTGCAGCACCTTGATTTCTTTTCATTTTCAGACTTTATGTTGTAAATCTGCTCATACACCCAGCTTTACTGTAGCTGTGAGACAGATGGATTCACATCCTCATTAGGACAATTTGGTATCCAAAGAGGAAGATTTCTCCTTTAGCCCAAAACAAACAAGCCATACTTTTCTAACTGTTCTTTCATTACCTTTAACCTCTAACATGATACCTGAGGCCTGTAGAGCCTCATGTAGCTCTTGCGTCTTTGGATCTTCTTTGAATTTCTTTGACAATGGTCTTGTAGCCCTTCCCAGATTGATGAACACACACCTGAATGCTGTAGACCAACAAAACTGAGAAGAACTTCTCCTGATATTTGGGTGCGCACACCTGTTGATGATCAACTGATCAAGAGCATTTGCTCTGCAGCGTCTGCCTGCTTCTTATCCTCTTACTTCCTGTAGAAACAGGAAAATGCTTGTTTTTTGCACAAACTACTTCCGTATTTCATCCTAGTTAGTGAATGATGATAATAAAAGGCAAGATAGTCATTTGTTTTGTTAATCGGAGGCTGTTTTCACGCCATTTTATGATTTTAATGATCTCATGAAAATGTGTGAGTTCTTTTCCTCACAGAGCATCCTCCCCCTTAAACCGAGGCCTCTATCTGAAAGTTGCAATAAAAGTCAAAATTCTCATTTAGCCATTTTTATGAGGAAAAGTGCAAACCCCATCTTTAATTCCGCCTTCAGCTTTCAGAGGACTTGCAGCTGCGTGCAGCAATTTGTCAAGGCGTGGTGCCAAGTCGAAGGTGTTAACCTGGCACATCTAATATATGTGCTGTGGATGGTAGCTGCGTGAGCTGTCAAAGCATAATAATTACCCCTCCCTTTTTGTTCGTCTTCATAAATTACCCTGGCACGGTGATTTATTGCAGGCTGCATCAGTGGTGCCTGGTGTTCTGCAGCACCC